TTTCCAATTCACCCGCTAGCTTCCAGCGCTTAATGGATATCGTTCTCGGCGACACAAAATATAAATTCGCCATGGCATACATGGATGACATCGTTATTTTTTCCCAGACTTGCGAGGAACACCTGAAGCATCTTGGGATCGTCCTCGAGCGCCTGCGCAACGCCGGCCTGACGATTCACCCTGACAAGGTGCAGCTCGCTTCACCACAAATTAACCTCCTTGGCTTTGTAGTGGACAATGGAGTTCTTCGCCCCAACGAGGACAAGCTGCGTGCAATAACAGAGTATCCGCAGCCACACGACGTCAAGAGTTTGCAGCGGTTTCTTGGATTGATTGGGTTTTATCGCCAGTTCATCCCTCGCTGCGCCGAGATCGCTAACCCCCTGACCTTGCTCTTGCGCAAAGGCGAGAAATGGCGGTGGGGGGAGGATCAGCGCGTCGCTTTCCTTCAGCTCTCGAAAGCAATTACCGACGTCGCCTCTTTGAAGTTGCCGGATCTCAACCGACAATTTGTCGTCCAAACAGATGCCAGCAACTTCGGCCTGGGCGCAGTCCTCCTTCAGGAACACGACAACGTTCTTCGCCCAGTCGCCTTCGCTAGCCGCACGCTGACAGCGGCCGAGCGAAACTACTCCGTGACGGAAAAGGAGTGTCTCGCCATCATCTTCGCCCTCAAGAAGTTTAACATGTATCTCGATGGCGCTTCCTTTCAGATACAGACGGATCACCAAGCGCTCTCCTGGCTGAAGAATTTGCAGAATCCAGCCGGACGTCTTGCACGATGGGCTCTGACACTGCAAGCGTACGACTACACTATCGCCTACAGGAAAGGAGCAACTAATATTGTGGCAGACGCACTGTCACGGGCTCCTTTGCAGGTCCCTCCCACTGAGACGGAACCGAAGTTGGTGGGATTAACCGACATCGTGGCGCGCACTTCGGAGTCACGGTGGGGGACGTTGGTGAGCAGAGCAGACCTCCGCAAGGCCCAGCAGGAAGATGGACTTTGTCGACGCGTGTGCGAGAGGCTTGCGGCACGAAGAGCAAGCGGCACCGGAAGCGACGACGAGTACGACTCGTACCTGCTGAGCGAGGACGGACTCCTTCTCCGCTACATTCCCCAGGCAGACGACGACAGCGATGGATCGACTTTGCGGATTGTGATACCTCGGAAGCTGCGCAAATCATTCATCAGGTACTTCCATGATTCAGCATTAGCGGGTCACAGCAGCGGCAGTAAGACTTACGATAAGTTATGTCGTGCTGCGACTTGGCCAGGAATCAGGCAGGATGTACTGAAGTATGCTCGCAGTTGTCCAGTGTGTCAGAAGGCGAAACCTCGCGGAGGCCAACCACCAGGATTAATGCAGCCAGTCGTTAGCCAGTCGCCTTGGCAGATTGTCGCATGTGATGTCATGGGACCGTTTCCACGTAGTCCTCGCGGAAATCAGTACCTACTTGTTGTGACTGACCACTTCACCAAGTGGGTCGAACTGTTCCCCTTACGGAAGCTTCTTTCGCAGCGGATCTGGGACTGCCTTCTGTCCGTTTTCACGAGATTCGGCTTTCCTGCAGAGCTCATCACGGACGGTGCTTCGTACTTTCGAAGCAAGATTTTCATCGACACCTGCGCTGCGCTTGGAATACGGCACAAGCTGACTTCGCCGTATCATCCGCAAGCCAACATCACGGAGAGGATCAACCGCAACCTCAAAAGTATGTTGATTTCCCACACAGCCCGTCACAAAGACTGGGATGCCAAACTCGACGAGATGGCATTTGCAACGCGCACCACGGTCAACCGATCCACTGGTTTCACGCCTGCCCGTCTCAACTTTGGTAAGGAGCTAACCTTCCCAATGGAAAATTCGTTTCTATACACAGATGTCGCGCAGAATGGACGCCCATACGCGCAGTTCGCCCAGGACGTCCATCACCGACTCTCGTCGGCCGTTCGTGAAGCACGAGAGAACCTCGACGTCGCTCGTCTTCAACAGGCCGCCCAGTACGACAAGGGCCGCCGCAGTGTCCACTTTCAGGTTGGAGACCTGGTACTTCGTCGGACACATCCCCTCAGCGATGCGTCGAAAGGCTTCGCAGCATCCCTCGCCAACCGTTGGGATGGACCCTTTCGCATAACGGAAACAATTTCCCCGCTGAGCTACCGCCTAGCACGACTGCATGGTACACAGCAGTACGGCCCAATTCACGTGTCTGAGCTCAAGCGTTACTGCGAGCCAGCAGTTTTTCCGCAGGTCCGGGACATCCCAGCTCCCAGCCAGCCCTTGGACCACGGAACTACGCCCAGGCGGTACAACCTACGCCCTCGGTGACTCATCACCTGTTCTATTCATATCCTTTTTTTGGCTGGCTGCGTCTCTTCGCGGAGAGGGGGGGAGAGGATCCATCTCCTTCCCGCGGGTCTGCCCTTTGTTTTCACAAAGGGATTGTTCTGTTCGCGAGTGTCTCCGAGCATGTTCGACGTATCACAACCAGACCCGTTAATTCGTCCTTTTTCTTCGTGTGCCCGTTCTCTATTTCCTCCGCAGGATCGTCACTGCCACCAAGAGCGTTCCCGCCACGCCTATCATTTCAGGCGATTGGCGGCACGCTTCCCGCCGCGCCGTGAGCGTGCCTCCGTCGCGACTTGGACTGTGCTGGTAGAGGACCGCCCGGTGGGCTGGGCCTCGGCGCTACGCTGGAGGGAGCAGCCCCGGCCCGAGCGTGGCGCGCCACCGGAGTCCGTCCCCGAGCCTTTCCGGGGCAACACGTTGGAGAACCGGCACCCGCACGAGCCCGCGGCCGTATACAACGAGGCGGAGCGCCGCCTGCTGTGCCCCGTCTGCGGAGTGCCGGAGCTCCACCGCCCCACCCACCTGGCGGGCGCCTTGCACCAGGCCCGCGTCGCGGCGGACTGGGCTCGCCGAGCCGCGCCACCTCCTGCTGCACCTCCGGCAGCCCCCCGCCCGTTGGAGGTCGCGGAAGCCATCCGGATCCTCCGCCAAGTCCGCCCGGATCTGCTCCGCGACCCGGCCCACGAGGAGGCCATCTTAGACCTCGACCTCTAAAAGGGGGGGGGGGAGGTGTGGGGCGCTCGGCCCGCCACACGGCGGCCAAACCGGCGACTAGCGGGGGGGCGGCACCCGGCGCCGACAGGGTAGAAAAAGGGATGGCCCGTGTGGCCGAGGGCAGTGGTTGCCCCGAGTCTGGACCAGAGTCATGGTAATAAACCCTGTTTGACCCCGAAGAACGAGTCGTCTGGTTGATCGCCTGCGGCGGACGGCGGAAGGCGAACGCCACAGAATACACATATTTCTGCGTGCCTGGCAGGGTTGGCAAAGCACAGGGCTGCCATGTAGAGGTGCAGGGTTCAAACCCCCACAGACAGTTCTCTTTTCTTCTGAAAAGTTCCAGTTTGACCGTTGTTACACAAAAGTCAAAAGACAGAACTGGGTTGGTGAGGTCCCCTAACTTCACGTGGCAGCCACATGTGTTGCCAACTCCATCAAGCACACGGCAATATAAAAAGTTGATTTTATCACTTCGATACTAACATATAATGACTGTTCATAGTTGAGCATTCACTCCAACTGTAGTTTACTATGGGTAGTATTTAATGAAATAAGAGGTTGCACGCAGGCGAGTGATTATATTTAAGAAAGCCGGACACGAGGGGGGAAAAAAGGGACCAATGGTGTCCATTTTTCCCTTTCCTCGCCCGCTTGTCTGTGGGTTTTTTCAGTATGATGGTAGAGTTGGAATTACTTTTGCAATCTTTGAACATAAGGTCAGCATAAGACAGACAGCTCTGAAGAAGCATTATGACATATACATCAACTTATACATTTCAGATTCCTCCATGGTAGTAATACACCTATGGCAATTTCATCTGGGAACCATGGATATTTGGTTATTTTGGTTTCTACATACGCGTTACAGGCAATGAAATTAAAACCAAATGTGTCAAAAATTACTATTAATGACGGAAATTAATTTTTTTATGTGAACCACGAAGAGGTAAACAGGGCAGGATAGTCGAGGGTGTATATTTATCAAGGTGGCTGAAATAATTATAAAATAAGACGCATAAATCCGCTGGCCTGTCTATAGGTTGTTTGCACATGACGTCAATCCGCCATTTTGTTGTTAGCTTGTTTTTTCAAACAAATTTACTAATTTGAAGGATTAGATCGCAACCGGTTGAGATGATGTCAGCGTGGTAAGACATAAGCTTATGTGCTCTACGAATTTCAGGGGTCATGTAAATCCTTGAAATGCTCGAGTTTGACACACGCCAGATAGCTCACAACAACAAAATGGTGGACGAAATTACGTCAGTGAAAACACCATAAGTTATGTTCCCACATGAAACTTTAGGGCGGAGGTTCTCAAATGGGGGTCCGCGAAGCCCTGTCTCATCAGTCAAGTCCAGCAAGAAAAGGTGTCTTTTCAGACTGCGGAGAAACGTTCTAATTTTCGGGTGAGCTTTCTTGTATGCATGTCAATTCAAGAAGTTTACTCTAAACTAGCCCTTCGTTATGTCCATTTATTAAATCATTATCATAATTAATAACCTATACCTTTCCCTTCCCCTCACCACGAACGGGGTCCTCCAACGTCCTCGCCGATCCACAAGGGGTTCGCAAAACTTCAGTGGTTGAGAACCACTGCTTTAGGAAAACGAAACTTCACCGCGATTCCACGAATTAAGCATAATATGTATTCAATTCATTTTAAACTTGCTGTACGTATCCCATCTAAGCCGCTTTAATATATATATACTGTTAAGGCAAGAAAGGAAGCATATCGAACATCACGGTGAAAGTCATAATTCTTTGCACATTAGCGAATTTAAACTTGGCAGCGGAAGGTCATTGTTTGGGAGCAAACTCATGAATGAATGGGCGCCCGGCATAGACGATCCCTTTAAAACGCTCGCGCTCTCGCGCTACGGGCGCCTACTCTACAGGTCACCAGGCGTAAAAAGTGAATATACTCACGACACGGGATATTTTGATTTCCGGTGGTTTGATGTTTTTGGTGTGTAGGGGCAAGAGCATTTCACCTAAGGAGTCCTTTTTTAGCTCGAGCCCTCTCATGTAGGCATGTCCCACGGCGCCAGCGGCCAGGCCGGCGACTGCAAAGAAGCGAAGGTTCCTGCTGCTCCATTTGGTGCTTGCGCCGGGAAAGGAACCCAGTTTCGCTGTTTGTACGGCGTGAAACAAAGTTGCGGACGGTAAACACTTCGCTAATGACACACACCGCGAAATCCTCGTGCCGAGCGCCGCCATCGCAGTTTTCTCCACATACATTTATAGATACAACCAGTTTGAGAGCAACTTCACAAATTGTATTAGATGGTAGCTTGTGCCATCTATCTGTACACTTTTAAATCTACCTTATCAAACGTTGGAACATAAACAATTCCGAAATTTCAAATTATGTCTGGAGTTATCAGCAAATTAAAAATACAAAAATAAGCAAAACATTTTCCAGAGCCGCGATCACAGGGGTCGACGACCAACAAAAGTTGACAGAAAAGGCGGTCAGGTGCAGACAGAGACGCCTTTTTCAAAACTGAGCCAACCGAGCGCGCAAAGGTTCCGGCGGCTGCTGTAACGGTTTACCTTCTGCTACTTTTTGTTCATATTTCTGCTACAGTGGCTTAAATGCACACTTAAATGTATCTCTGCTTTCCTACAACTAGTCACAGCATGAGTAGTTTTTCCAGTTCTCGCAGTTCTGTTGGTTCTGTCCTCGCAGTTTTGTCCTACGACTAGGCTCGGGCCCTCGGACCTTGTGCCTTTGCAGTGGGCGGTATCGAGTCGTGCCGTCATACCGCGATGCAGTATGCAATCACGTATTCCACAAAGGAGTACTCGACGTCACCAGTCGCCTTTCAGCTCGCCGGCAATGGACGTAGACGTCACTGCACAGCCGGCGCAGGCAGCCGTCCTCGGAAGGTGAGCAGTCGTGGGCAGGGCCGGCCCTACACCGCCAAGCTTTTTCGTTTTTACAGCGAAACTAGCTGTATATGACTCGTTGGTCGGGTTTTTTTCGTATCCGTCGACAGGATAGTCGACATAACACCATAGCGCGCGCCTTATCATCTATCTGGTTTTGACACTTGTTTTAATATGAAAACAAGTGTCAAAACCACATGATGGATAATAAGGCGCGCGCGATCAATAATGATAAACTTTTATTCATAGCAGTAGACAAATACATATACAGGTCTGCTTAAGCCAAGGGAGGCTTTTGTGCCATGACCTGCAAGGAAGGCTTTTGTGCTTCTGCAAGGAAGGCTTTTGTGGCAGGTCATGCCACAAAAGCCTCCCTTGTGTTTCTCGGTAAAGCTCCCCTCATGCGTTTCTCGGTAAAAATTGCGGTCCGCGGCAACGTCTTTTGCTGTTTATAAACATGAACTGCCGCTTGCGTCCCAAGCGACTTCCGCTTAATGCTGGAAAGCATATATGCTGCACGGACAACGAAGTTGTAGATTGATTGAGGGCATTTGGCTAAGTTGGTTTATAATAACATTTTAACAGATCTCCCACTTCTTCGTTCTTTTGACGTTCACCGTGGTTAAACGTTTCATCGACATTTCAGGCAGCGGTGTCAAGGTGGGCTTTGTTCATTCTTTTTATGAACCTGGAAGTTTGCTGAAACATTGTAGACTGGAACACCACCTGGTGGCGTTTGCAAAGGGTCTAAGTAGAAATGTTTTGGTGCAGTGCATTTACTTTCGTCAATCATTTGGTATAGTGCAGTGGGCAGTCGTTGCAGGTAATACCACAGCTTCGCTGGCCAACGACCTTCACAGCATGGATTGGAGCCCCGATTTTTTATACGCCCCTAGTACAACATCACATTTTTGGTAAATATGTGAGCAGTGGCCCAACTCGAGTGTTTTGCCAGATGAGAACTGCGTTATAAAAACAAAAAAGCTTAAAAATATATTTAAAAACAGGGTGCGGCTATGCTTCCACTTTTATGGTTCCCCGAAGAGCCCCCCCCCCCCCCCCCCCCAGTAAGGCCAGCCCTGCTTGTGGGTATTTGCGAGTTCTAGCTGCAGTTTAATCCTTTGTCCGAACAAGAGATGTTAATTGACTTCATCGGATGGCATGTTGGAGGCGGACTTGAAGTGCCTGATGTTGGAAACCTTTTGGTTAAAAATACAGTGCAAGTATGGCCCGTTGTCGGACAGCTATGGAAGCACTCCTGCCCTCCCCATCAACTTATATACGTGCGCGAATCTGCGTTCTCACCCTTGACAGCAATTAAAAACAAAAACAGTCGCCTCTACAAGTCTGACCCCAGGCTAGCCAATTTTTAAAATTCCACCAAGCTGTGCGACGCGATTGCGAAGACCACAACCATCCCACTGACCTTTGCAAACGACAAATTTCCCGGCGTGGGGAAACCATGTTCTGCTTTTCATGTGTCCTTTGCTTACCTGAAGTCTCGTGGTTGCGCTGTGTCTAATCTTCACCAGCTCATCTGTGCGCCGACTTTTCCATTTATTAATAACTACCCGGTGTCTCAAATAGTGGCCAGGCTTTTTAAATCGACCGCAAAAATCGGTTTCTTAACCTACCGTAGAATACCGTGCATCCGCCTATACACTAAGTGCCCATACCCAAATTTGTAAGATCTGAGAAAATATGCACAGTACATTGATATGCAAAAGTGATGACCGGACAAGCGCCCATCCCCCATTTTTTTACGATTATCTCTAAATTTTGAGTGGGCGCTTGCCTGGCATTTTACGGTATCGCGCTATGTTTTTGTGCAGTGTTGCCCACAGGTGGTGCATTTTTTCAATAAAATTTTCAAAGAGCGAACTTACCTGAGGAAAAAGTAAAAATGAAAAAGGCTTAGCTCCTATGAGAACGCAGTGAAATCACCAGTCCTCAAACAATAGGTTGCCCTATAGTTTGAAGACCGGTGGCTTCACTGCGTTTTCATAGGAGTTAAGCCTTTTTCATTTTTTACTTTTTCCTCAGGTAAGTTCGCTCTTTGCAAATTTGATAGAAAAAATGCACCACCTGTGCACACGTGGGCAACGCTGCACAAAATCGTAACGCAATAGGTTAAGAAACCGATTTTTGCTGTCAATTTCAAAAGCCTGGCCGCTATTTGAGACACCCAGTTCAACCACCTTGTTCCTTCCAGAGCTGAAGTACTGTTGCTCAATAACTGAGTATAGAATAACTCCAGTTCCATCTACACGTGTTACTATCTCAGGCTTACTTCACCGGCAAGCTCAAGGGTGTGTGGCATCGCACCCCCCATGTCCTCTCTTTGACAAGATTTTTGTACTGTGGCTCTGGCCAGACTCTTCCGTAGACTCGTGAATTGCATATCACTGGCACCTACCTACAATCGTCAAGACTCGGCAAGCAAACTGAGCAGCTCTGACATGCCCACACTGTCTGCCGCTGTTACTTTCTCCTTGTGCTCACCTCCACAACTACAGTGGGTAGGGCTGGGCTTTGTGTACTGGCACGTGCAGAACCCTAACTGTGCTTTGTATTTATGATGCACAGTAGAACTTTCCAGCACGTAGAAAGAGTGTATTTATCAGTTGGTCTACCCCATTTCGAAGCTCGGATATGCTGTCCATCAAAATCTGAACTTATTTGAGACGTGGTGTTGGTCAATAAGACTTTGTTCTGTTCACAGGCGCACGGGACTACCCATCAAAGAACTTGTCAACGGCCGTGCCTTGCGCAAGGACAGCGATGGTCGGGGGCGCCTCTCGGACTACTTTCCCGATGAAGGTGGGCTATTAGTGCACAGCACCAAATCTGCTTTTTAAATGCGTCTGCATTCATTGCCCTGGTACATACAGCCGTCTTTCGTTCGTATTTCACTGGTTTCGTGAGGTTGCGACGCAGCTCCCGCCATACTCTTTCGCTCCCTCTGCTCGTTACATCCACTTTCCCTTTGTCTTCCAGGGCTTGTGACAACATGAGGCACATTGTTCACCACGTATGCGTCGTCGCGCATCTCCCAAATAACTTGAAAGTGTGCACGTGCGGGCTTGAGCGTTGCGGTGGTTGTCATCTGCTAGCTCATGTCCGCTTTGGAACTGTGTTTGTGTTATGAAATTACTGCAACTACACACACTTAAGTGTTGCACACAGTGTCCAAAGGTTAGAGAAACTTGATGCTTGTCATACTTTAATGTAAGACCTACATTTCGCCGAAGCAGAGCGAACAATGTGCGGACCGTAGGCGGCGATCAAGGAAAGCTGCGGCTGTTACATCCGAAACCGCCGACACCCAGGTGAGCAGGCTTGCTCTCCAAACACAACAGTATACTGACCGTTGCGAGGCTGGAATTCCCATGAAATCGGAACCCCTTTGCTAAATGCTGACGCGTTTCGTTGAGATTCGATGTAGCTACAGCAGCGATTTTGGCATCTTTTTTTTTTTGGAGGGGGAGGGGGGGCAGGCGCAGAGGCAGGCGCAGGGGCAGGGGCAGCAGAATTTTACTTATACACTAAAAGCTTAGACCAAGTTAAGGTAGAATTTATTTTTTTGGCTTCTTGTCTCGATTGTTGCCTTATTCTTGTTGCATTGCATTGTTGCCTTACAGTCCTTCCTCCTAAGAGTCTCTGATCAGCATCTACATTTATGACCTCTTCCCTTTTCCAAATGGGGTGACTTGCTTTGCAAATCAGCAACTTCTTGTGGAGTTTTTCTACTACGAGGCTACTACGTATTCACCATAGTCGGTGACAGGAACCAGTCAAAGCTTCACCTCCAGCACATGCTCATTGCCCTCCGCTGGGCTATGGCTATGCCTGCAACAAAGTGTTGTCAGAATCGGAAACCTCGCCCTTGATGCGAAGCATTTACCGGGCCTGCAACCTGTTACTGAGTGTAGAGGTACTACCACAGACACGAATGTGCTTCTTCGGCTTTCTTGCCAGTTTTTAAAAAGAGCTTCGGTTCAAACCTGACATCGAATACAAAATTTGGATCTCAGTCTTTGAACTCTTTGACAATTTCAAAGGAAATGGAGCTTGTGAGAACTGTAGGTGCAGCAGACATCCAGATTGTTGGGAGGGGATGGGGGAGGGGAGGGGAGGGGGGGTTACATTACATAATGTTGGTCTCTGGACCTCATGCCAATGCAAGAATGTGCTCTCAGTCTTTCTATCACTACGTAGTGAACCGCTCTTATGACAGAGGGTCTTGTTTCTAAATGCACATCTTTTCACAGGTTCCAGCCGTTTGGGACTTTCTGCGTCTGTCCATACTGAACGAAATCCGTGAAGACTAAGCTTTAATGAGAATTCTGCGTTTTCGGTGAATGCCGATAGACCCCAATAATGAAACCCCGAGCCGGTTTTATAAGAATGGGGGAAAAACCAAAAAAACGTGAATTGGAGCTGTCCCAGAATGAGAGTAACCCAAGCTTCATGTTTGGGTTTTTCCCGGGGATGAAGGGGAAGGATAAAGCTCATTCAGGAGACCAATGCTTCGTCATTGGGAAGTCAGCTGCGCTAACACCATCCTTCTCCAGGCTAGTGCTCATTGAGAAGGGCACCTGCTTTATGCTTGGTGTTCAAATGAGTATTAACCCAAAGTCAGTCAAAACTTTTTATTCGAACGACCATCGACTAGAACATTTGTCCGAGGGGCTGTCCCAAAAAGCAATGGCAAGTCTGACAAGACAACACCTCCATACCTCCCCCGTTGCACCATCCAGCAAACCAAAATAAATGCCGAACGAAAAAAAAAAAAATTTGTACAAACAGCACAAACGAGACAAAAATGCATATCAACAATAGAAAAACACTGCGCAAAACAACAAAATTAGAAACCAAACAGTTGCCCCCTAAAGCAACAAAACAAGACATATGTATATCTTTAAACTTGCACAAACATGGCATAAGTGAGAGTTCAATAAATTAGCACAGAGAAAAATGCCACCCACACAGTGCAGGTCAACCGGACACCCCTTAAAGCTAAGAAAAAGACGGTTATAAGCTTGCAAGAAATCACTTCACAAAAGTGCTAGCCAGACCAACGCATAATGAACCAAAGAAGTGTCGCCAAAGAAACGAAAAAAAAAAATACCCGTTCATGTTTTTGTCATTGCTTGTAGAGACTTGCTTTCTTCAATAGTGATTGTGAGATCAGGGTGGTCATTTAGAAGGTTAAGTATTTGATAATGTAATTTCTGCAATTTTTTTGCATGTGCAGCTCATGTGACACAACTTATATGTGCAATCTTTCCAACAATGCTTCTCAAGAAAAGCATTGCTGGGTTCGAATTCGATAAATTATAAATGTAAATAAAGTTACTTTGTTTTTTACAGTGTTTTGTACAGTTAATACCTGGTGTTTTCTAAGAGCAAAGCATATTATGTGCAGGGTTTTTATTTGTTTTTGTAGCAGTCCCTTGTACAAGAAGGCAGTAGTCAAGACGTGACAAGATATCTGGTTTCACCAGCTTGAAATTGCATCCCTAAAGTTTCTCTGGCCGATTGTCTGTGCATGTCGCCAGTTGTATGGCTTCCAAGTTAGGTGCATGTTTTTGTGTCCGTGCAGAAGAGTGAGGGACCCACCATGGTCATTGCCCTCGTTATGGGAAGGCAAGTTCTCGTCACTCTCAGTTTCTTGGGGGGCAAATTTCGGCTGAAGAGCAAGTTTTTTCTTGGATAGTCTGCACCTGGTGCATAGTCCGCACACAAAAAGGTTCTCGTACACAGCACACCTTGACAAGTACCTGCTTTATTAGCTCATAAAAAGGCATGTGTCATACATACATTATCATTAACATACTGTCATTCACTTAAAATTTGTCACCTTTCCTCATAATGAATGATATTGAAGCAGCAATACTTGTACTATAGTCTACTCCTGTGGATAATCCACAGCAAGTATAATTTCAACTTTTAAACATGTATAGACCACGGACTATGCGGATAGCAAGTCGTTTGCTTCTTGCGCAGGGGTTTCGGTGATGTCAGAATGACGCAGAGTTCTGATTGGCTTTCATTAAAAGAGGGGGGTAGACCTCAATGCTAGATGCCTTGAGGTCTCCCACTATTTTTTTTTTCCAATCAGCCAACAAGAGCTTAGCGTTTTGACATTGTCGTAAGCCTTGTGCAAGAAGCAGACAAACTTGCGCTCTGCATAGCCTGGAAAATATGGTACAGTAATCTCTCGTTATAAAGAAAGCTTTATTAGAATGATCGCTTTTATCGAAATTCAACGTGGTCCCAACCGAAATGCACACATTTTTATCCGGATTGTTCTAAGTGTATCGGTGGCCGACCACGCTTATTACGAAGGCCGAGGTGCCAAAAGCCCGTAAGCCTACAAGGAAGCGCATAGGGACCTTTGCATTCCTTCCCTCTTCTCCACCGAGCCAAACGGCAAACTGAGAACGGAGTAAACGGGCGACGGAGGGCAGAGCGCCCAGAGCTGGCAGAGCGCCACTTCCGATGCCAATGCGCCGACGCGGGGACGCACATTGCACTCTCAAAACACATCTACACTGTGTCGATTCTTGATTGGTATTCAAGCGTACAAAGGCACAGAAATGCAGCACTTCCGCCTTCCCAGGAAGTTTTGATCACGCCGCGAGACTGGTGAAACTTGCTTTCGACGAGTTGTGCCTTTTTCCTGCGGCACTGTGCTTTTGTTAAAATTTCCACGTGTTCTCATTGGGAAGTCTCGCCGCTCACACAGGGTTTTGAAAAACTTTGGTGAATGACGATGAATAATAGAAAACGTGTCTTCAGCACGGTGCCGCCAGCCTCTGCAACGCTAGCAAAAACACGATTTTGCCGCATGCAAGATGGCCGTCCAATGGCCGCACTCGCGGAGCGGGGAAGTGCGTTGCAGTTGTCATAGAGATCAATGGGCAAAGCACACAACTCGTGCCGAGCTCCAGACATTGTTAGCGTTTGGCTATTGTTGTCCTTGCAGCGATTGGACTCCTAGGAGCCACTAGCCGAAGGCTTGTTGAGCTATTCATTATCACGAGCCTAAATCAAGTGTTTATGCAATGCTTGGCTCCAGTCTATGAGCTGCATTCAAATATCGTAACTCAGCGGCACTATGCCAACACTGCGCACTTGTGAGCTACGTCACCAAATTTTGCAGAGATTCAAAGAAAATACGCCTTTATCAGTTGAAATTACATTGTGACAAAGAAGTTCATTGGTCAATGACATTACGTGTTGGTATAGTCGGGTTCCACTAGTGCCAGTAAGTTTGTGAAGTCAAAACATTTTAACTGATTATTGTTGTACTTTAGTCACACTTTATTGCTTGTTTAATACATTTATCTTACAGAAAAGTTTTTTTTCCTTGTTCAACTCATAAAACAAGGTAGACTGAACAAGATTGTTTATCTACAGAAGCTAACTAAGAAAAGAGCCCATAATATGTAGGAGGGCACACTGCAATAGTATTTCTACTACAACCTTCTTTTGAAATATACAGTCAAACCCGTTTGTAACGAACAGCACAAAACTCTATGATCAGTTCGATATAGCAAGTTGTTCGATATAGCAGAAAAACATTTACAACGAACTTCCACAATGCGTTCATTGTAGGGTCGAGAGCTTCTTTATTTCTCATATCTTCGCTTCCACCTTGTAACGAAAAGCTAGAAAGCTTCTTTTTTTTTTTTTGCATGAGTGCAGAGTTTGTTTTTTTAACTTATCTCTCCTTCTGAACCGCTTCTCTTAGTGGGCAACAGCTTTGGAATGAAAAGGTTTTTTTCTGTGCGTGCGTGCAATGTGTATTTGTTGCTTCCCCCCCGCCCTTTCTGAATCGCTTCTCTTTGCTCAATTTTGTTCACGGCTAAAGCTCCTTTCTTTCCTACCTTTTTTTTTTGGAGGGGGTGGGTGGGAGGGACAGGCTAAAAGACGAATGTTTGCGCGTTTTTGGTAGCCTCCCGGGGGAAAAATTTCGATATACCGAATATGTTGTTCGTTATAAAAAGTACTTTTTACATGCATTTTTATTTAAATTTTTTCTGAGTTCGATATTGACAGTAATTAGCTGTACATGGGTTTGTTCTAAACGGGTTTCACTGTAGCATATCTCGTGCACTGATGCATTGGAAACAAAGTTTTTCTCATTAATTTAGTGTGCCTTACTGTGTTCACACTTCCATGTTTAAGCCGTTTTAGCAGTCTCAGCCTATCTGGCCTTTGTGACTCTTAGAAATGAAATGTGGTCAGCAATTGTACTTTGGCAACATTGTCAAGCAAGTGTATCCTTGCACATGTTGCAGGTACCTCTGCACTGTGCCGGGAGAATGTCCGCAACATCTCCGCCATTTCTTCTCCTGTTCGGACCACCGTGTAAGTACCTAGTGGATGTTTGCAAACGGTTGCAAATAAGATCAAATTAGAATTTCTGTTTGGCAGCCACGCTATTAAAATTGGTGGAACTGTCGAGTAACTTTACAATTAATGTGCTTGTGTGTATCTTTTGCATTATTTGGTGGCTATGCTTTACTATGTTCCAAACACTCCAATTAGAGATAATTAAATACAAGCAATTGCTTTCCAACATGTGCTTGGAACAGAAAAGCCTTTTTTACATGTTGCCTATCTTCTCCGTATTTTGCCAGTTTTTCCTCGATGCTCGAAGCTCTTGTCCGGTTAGACCAGGTTCAAAGATTGAAATTGCTGAAATTGCTTTGTGCCTTACTTATTTATAAATCAGGATACTATGCTTTCCTGCTTTGAACACTTGACTAAGAGCATGCTTATGCATACTTATGCTACATACCATAGCTGATATAGGAGTCGGTAAAGAATCAAATATGATATCAGTTTGCTGTTTAATAACATCCCATAATGAGTATTGAGTGTTGAGTGCACTCAATACTTTTCAATAATCCAGTGCCATCTAGTGGCTCAAATACCGGTCTAAATTTGGCAATGCAAATAGCAGTAAAAATGTGGTATTCTCATTGTGCACCGTCTCTATCGTACGGCAATGGCTGATGGGAATGCGTTCCCTGTCGTATGGCCCTTTCTCTATTCATTTTACTTTCAATGATCGCAAAGAAATACTGCTCTTTACAGGGGTTGGCCTTAGTAAAGGCTTTTATAATATCCCCCATATCGGGGGACCTGTGGGCTGAGTGTATGCCAGCTGATTGATTGGATGCGATACTGACGTAGCTTTTGTATGTAATCTGTATCTAATCTTCCTTCATTAGCCAGCAAAAGGCCGCCACTAGTATGTCACGGGCTCCACACACTCGGCTGATGATCGTGATTGAAGTGACCAGACTGAATTTCGGAAAAGGTCTATATCGCGTTTACTTCGTCTAATTGGTAATTGCTGATGTTTGGTTATGCAGCCAGTGGAAACCCAGTAAAGTTGAGCGGATTCAGAGATGCAGCTCGTGTGGACACCCCCGATTTTAGACTATCTGTGTCTGATTGCTTTGTTTTTATTTTTTTCTCTCTCTGCACAGTCAACGATATCTTAGTTCCCTCATCCATGTTTCACCCACGGAAGTGACGGGTGAGTTTAGAGCACCTGATTGATTGTTAGTGAAAACCAGAATTGAATTTACTGTAAGTGCTCTAATAATGATTTTTAGGGTTGTGTAAATGTTAAAAATGTCTAATAGCAGTTTCGAATAATATTCTACTCAACATTCACTTCGAGATGGACTGCGGAATTTGTACTTTTTGAAGTGTTAACTGTGGCAAATTAGCCTCGCTCAGTGTGCTTCTTACTGAGCACCGGTGCACTGCAAAGAAGCAACACCTGCAAACCTTGCTTGGCCGCAGCACAGCCGCAAGCTTGGGAGGAAACCACACCTACGTGCACCCGGCATATTTAAAAAGGAACAAAACTTTGGGAATGTTAGTATACACTGCAGTAAAATTTTTGAAAATAAACTGTGGCAATTATGCGATAGTATACAGTTTAAGCTCGTTATAACAGACCAGGTTACAACAGACATTTGGATATAGAATACCGATTTGTGAAGTTCGGTTGGTTGTCCTCTATTCCCCAATGACTCAAATTCATATCTGCATACAACATACTCTTTTCACAACAGACCGAAATCTTGGTTAAAATCAAGGTCTGTTATAACAAGCTTAGGCTGTATGTTAGGCTGCAATGTTTGACAACTTGCATTCATCGCTCATGCTTGTTTTTTTTTTTTTACAAATTTATAAATCGCTTTGATTAGGTATAGATGAGCATCTTTGTAGGTCTAATTCTATGTTTACATCCGTCATTAATTTGTCACCCCAATGTAGGAATCGGACTTTCCGAAGCTACTTTCTATATGTATGGTTAGGTTAAAACTAACTGAGCTTAGAAGTGAAAGCTTGGGAACAATATTTGCGAGTGCAGCTTGATTTTTGTTTAAGAATGGTGCAACAGTAGTGAAAGTCAGTATTAAATTCGAAAATATTTAGTCAAAACAACTACTATATTTGCTTTGAATTCACTTTGAACTTGCAATTCAATATTCGCACTGGATTTGGGCTGCATTTATGAACAAGGTCTGTGCAGTCACTTTGCTGCAGTGATCACATTTTTGTGGCAGATTTCAGTCAATGACAAAAAACTTGAATTGGTTTTTTTTTTTTTTTTTTTTTTTAGAGGCTTCGGTTTTTTGCGGCATCCCCAAGCCCAGGCAAGTAGTACTTTAATCTTTTTTCTTCCCAGCATGCTCGACCGCTCATTGGATGCATTATGTTTGTCCCTCCATGAGCACTCCACTCACTAGATGGGCTGGAGTGCCACTGCAGTTGGACGCTTTAATACACTCTTCTCACACTGTCTCGTTCTCGGTGCACTAGGTGCTTGCCCACGTTGCGTGATGTCGCTTCCCTAACTAGACATCTCGGTTGAGGCGAATAGTAAGAGGAAAGGGGCATAGGTCTTTTTTGCGATGAAGTTTGGTCACTCTGACGAATGCTCGTTTGATGAGTTCTCGTTAACCTAATAGAGGAAAGTTTGTCCTCGGGAACCAAAGTGTGCATGACACCCGCGGCGATGCCAAAGTGTTTCCACAGCCCATCCTGAGTAGCGAGCGTTGACAAGTGGCGAGTGATCAGAGCATGACATTCAAAAGCCTCTATTGTACTACTATCATTGGGGCTGCATGCCAATGTACCACTTTAGCCAGGACACCTGCTCGTTTGTTGTCGTGAACCCCATATTAATAGCGGGATATTTGAGTGTTGTTCAATAAGGACAAACAAATTATTTTTGCGAACTACATTGTGTCGTGCAGTGGTGGGATGCATCTCGGTTCTGTAGCTTTGCCTTCACCGCCACAGAAAATGGGCTCAGACTATAGTTCAGTAGCCTGCTGGCAAATACTTAAGATATAATTTATTCACAAAACTTGGTTTCTGCTTAGTCTTCATAAAAGACCTTGATATTGTTGATTTAAGATGTACAGAGTTCTCCCTAGTAACTTTTTAGATATGGACATGTTGCAATTTATAGGGTCTAGAAGAGACGATTGCTTCAACTTTTGGTGTTCTCGGCCCTTTTTCTGCCACACAGCAGTGATGTTGTTCGCAGGGATTATGCAGTTCTCTTGCATAGTGCCACACAAGTCTGCAAAGCACAAAAATCTGGGCAGTCGTGCATTTTCAAACTCGGCATCATCTTGTCCAGCAGAGGCAATATAGAAAGATGGGCTGACCATAGTGGAGATGAGCAGTCAGCCAGACTGGTGGGCCTGCCACCCACGCTGGGGAGAACCCTGAAGATGTAGGTACCTACTATGTACCTCCATGTGCTTGCAACTTCAGTCGGGGCCTCGTCCAAAAAGAAACGACCGACAAATCCTTCGGTTTTACTCTTCGGACAGCCCTACAGCCACTGGCTGCTTTCCGTCAGTCTTCATCGAAGAGACAGAAATGGATGCCAGGCTGTGTCTGGGCGTCGAAAAGCCTCTTGTGTATTGTGAAGTAATGTTTGTTGGAGGACAACAGAGTAGTAAGGACTGTTTTAGTAAAGCTTTTTTAAGAAAGAAGAGAAGCAAAGACTTAATTTGAGCAAGTTTTTTTGTCATTATTACACTCGCCCTTTCTTTTTTTGTTTTGGTGGCAGCCCAATTTTTCATCGTCGTCATCACTCTTGCCATTTTTTTCTTTTGCAGCGTGAACCCAACCGAAGCCACGTCGACCAGAAAGGCTCCTACCCGAAAGCCGTCGACCGGAAGCTTCTTCCTGCGTGGCACAGCGTGGTCCACAACCGCCGCAGCCCCGGGGACGAACAAAGTCCCCAGCGCCAGTTCTACATCCCTGAGTTCCCTCGTGAGGCGCTGTGAGAAGATACCACGCGTACCCAAAGCTGCCGCGTCGTCTGCAAAGGACGCACGGCACGAGTCATTCGAGGATCCTGGAGCAGAGGCTGAAATGGGCGAAGATAAAGAGAATCGGACAACCACAGTTTTCGAGACCACCAGAGAGCAGCTGCCCGCACAACGGCCGCGATGCCACCCCATATTCTTCTCAAAGAGAAGGGAAGAGCTCGAAGTTGTGACGGCACCTACCTGCCGAGCATCCACATTGACCGGCGAGACAACCCGAAAAGAACTGCCGACGCGAGGACCGCGATGCAACCCCGTATGTTTCACGACGCAAGGGGAAGGGCTCAAAGCTTCACCGCCGCCTTCTCCTCTGGCATCCACAAGGAAGCAGAGTATTTCCTTCGAACAAGCCAGGAGGAAGCCAGATGGCCAGCCAGTTGAAGCTTTGTCCTCGTCGTCGCCTCAAGCACTGCCAGTAGTCGGCGTGCACAAAGAACTTCGGGCGAAGCGGAAGATTATGACGACTCTCGAGACGTCCGTACCGGGACCTTTGCCAGGGGCAGCGCCTTGCTCTCTGGGAGATCTCGGCACACGTACAGAAGGAGACACCGGAGACGGGAAGCAAAAGCGGACAGCGACGTCTTTGGCAGAAGCGAGACTGGGTTATCACAGCCAGGAGGCAACCGCGCCCCAGCAGCCCGGCATTCGGCCGTATCGTTTCTTCAAAAGCCGGCAGAGTCGGGCTCCTTTCCTCTCGTGGGACCCGAGGAACACCCCACGAACACAAGCGCCGCTTTTGGTACAGCCAGAAGCACCGGACGAGGAGACATTCAAACAAAAGTCGGCGGCCGCTGCCGTCGTTCATCTGGCGAAGCCGCCGAGGAGCGTTGTTTCGGCTACTTCTGGCTCCGCTGCGTCTTCCGCTACAAGCAGTGTGTCGGTGCAACCGGAGGGGGCAGTCGCACCCCAGGAGGATGCGTCGGTTCTCGGCGATTCTTCGTTTTCGGACCTGTCGGGATCGGGTGTCGATTCCTGGAAAAAGCTAACTTCGAGCTGCGAAGGTGAGTTTTGGGGGGACGTTTTGCATGTTTATGGGGCTACGCATGTAGGAAATACTCGGTTGTGTATTTTTGTGTTTTTCTTTGGAAATGACCAAATTGAAAACTTGTTTTTCACTCTTAATGAGATGCACTATGGTTTTCAGGGAGATGGGGGCCTTTAATCGTTGTTTTATTTTTGTTCTTAAATTATTTTATTATGTGATGTGATGTTAAGATGACCTCCTCAGATTCAAACAAATTATGGAAAGCAGAGTAAAGATTATCAGGTGACCAAGTTATTAAATTCAATCTGAACCTTCATGGATTTTAATAACTCCCTTTCTAAATTTGAGAAAGAGGTGAGGACACTCTTGGTGGACAGTGACACTGTATTATGGTCATTTTTATACATGTACAAATTGATGGTTTTTGTTTCTGAACTTGTGAAAAGGTTTCTTTCATAATCAATATTACTATTTGCGATCCTCTCTTGATGATGTCATATAAAGCCATGACATTGTTTGAATCGCTGATGTATACAGCTTCACAAAGTATATTATATACTGTGTACCGTATGTGCGAACTTCAAAGGGGACAGAGACCTTCGTCAGGCATTTTCTGCCTTTAGTCTTTGTTCCCCTTTCAGTTGATCCAAAAGAAATAAAACTTCAAATTCAAATATTTATTATATTGTAGAATGTAATCCTTATTACATTATACAATGATATTCCATCTCAAATATGCAATTGGAGATGGGTATTTTTAGCTAAACATTAGGTATGAGCTGAATAGGCAGGTCTTAGCTGATGAGGTTCAGTAAATATTTGACGTTTTGTGAATTGTTTACTTTAACCTTTTGTAACGAGTGACCTAGGTAGATAATACAAGACGTCAAATATTTACTGAACCTTATCAGCTAAGACTTGCCTATTCAGTGGTTAAATTCTATGGTAGTTTGAAGAATACTATTATATACACCCAGACATGTACATGTTACCCCCAATAAGTAACTAAATACCGTTACTCGTTACCGATTCTCAAAAGGAGCGCGCGAGTTGTCTCAAAAATAGCGAGTTACTTTTCACATTACTTTGACGACCGAACACACAATTGCTATTGTTTCATGGTTTATTGTTTTCTTTTTAGCAGTCGTTGCACTTAAGCAGTAGCTGCCTCTCGAAGTTTTCATCAGTTATGTTTCCCCGCTTCCTTAAAAATACATCTCCGGCGGCGCTGAAGAGTCGTTCTACCGACGCGCTCAAAGGAATGGCAGTGCTGTGCTTTGGGAACGCCTGGTGATTATTCGGGAACTGTGCCTTCCTTGAGGACAGCGGTTGAGGGCTTCTGTGCCTTCCCGTGTTGGGAACCTCCAAGTTCACATTCAGTCCATACCCGGTTCTAGAAGGTTCAACCAACGAACCTTATTGTGTTCGCTGGGTGAAGGACATTCCCAGCTGTAGGGTTCAGCACAGCAACCTTTATCGCTGGACACGCCAGTCAAACTGTTCGACTGACGTGTTCAGCGATAAACGTTACTTACTGTCTTACTGTTTGGTTGTTTTTCGGGTTGCCCATCTGCCTTTGTCGCAATAGGCGCATAATCGGGCTGGGATTAAAACGAAGCTGTTTAAACGTTGTTGTACACGTTACTCCTCAAAAGTAACGAGATACCGTTACCCGTTACCTTGCCTTAAAAGTAACTAAAAGTGTTACTCGTTACCGAAAATAGTAACTAGGTAGAAGTAACTCACTACTTGTAACGCGTTACATACATGTCTGCATACACCTAAGGAAACTGGGTAATAAGAACAAAATCGGCTTGCTCACACATCGTGTAATATTAATTACAGTACTAGTAGATGTGCGCAAATAGTGAATTTTGAGTTTGAGGCGAATAGTGGGTTTGGCCAAATATTTTCTTTTTGAATATTGAATTGTTTCTCCAAGCCTTTCACTACGAAACAAAATCCCAAAACTTGTGAAGTTTGTTTCCAGGCTTTCATTCGTCCATTTCTAAGTAAGTTAATTTTAGTCTAACGAGGTATATTTATGGACTGTCTTGAGAAAGTCCAGTGCCTACATTGGGATGGCAAGTAACTGACGGATACATAGAATTAAACTTGTGGATGTGCAGCTATACCTAAAGAAAGAGATTTGTATATCTTATTGCTATTACAAATATTCTTTCTTTAATCTCGACTTGGAAAAAAAATTCAGCAGGGAACATGTATTTGTCTGTAGGGCCGGTGACATCAGGTCACGTTGCATCAATTTTCCTGCCAAATTTATACCGCAAATACAGATTACAGATTTTTTTAAATAACAGGCTCGACTGAATGGTCATTTCCTGTGACATTTGTAAGTGGCTATTGCTTTGGAATCCTCCGGGGATTAGATAATTTGCCTACCAATAGGTGCAGTATTTAGGCTCTTTACAAAGGCAAAGTTTCGGTAATGACCATTCTGACTGTAGATATATTAAAGGAGCTGTGCAACAATTTTAGTGCTCTGCTTAAATAATTTGGGAGTTTGTGTCTCGACCTTTCTGAAGTAAAGAACAAAAACCGCTTTTGCCTGCATGTCCTAGTTTTCATTTTAAAAATTGACAAAGATTGAGGTTTTCAGCACGTCTCAACTTTTTCACCATTTTCCAAGTCACGTGTGCTGCGACGTGAAGGGGGGACGCGCGGGGTTCTGGTGAAGCTCCCTCTAGAACCATCAGTGGGCAGTGAGAACTCACCCGCTCGCGACCACGTGACCACGTGCTTGCGCAGAGCGATCAACATGGCGAAAGGAGGAAAGCCTCGTCCGGGTTTGGCCATCCCCATCCGGCTCTGCCCCCGTCCCCCTCCGGCTTCTGGCGGCTGTTCGCAGTAGCAGATAGAGCTGAAGGTTTTGTTGACCCCGGATAGATGGCGCCACTAAAACTCTGTATAATAAAAGTTCTGTTGAACAGGTATTTGCACAACTTCCTATCTTTTTACAAGTCCCCCATTGATGTCATACCGCGTGGTTCTCATAGCCGCCACTCGCGGCTGCAGGGTAGAAAATATTCTAACTTTCGCCTCGTGATTACGCGACAGAATCGCAACATTTCGAAGAGAGATTTGTTTTCTGTCCTTTGGGACAAGATAAACAATGTCGAAAGTAGAAGATGCAAATTCTTTCAACGTTAAAATCGTTGCACAGCTCCTTTAATGTAGCTGTATAGGTGGCCACTTTGAGTAACGCTGGCAGCATGTCGTCAAGATCGACTTCATGCCCACCACTCTCACAAAGGGTCAAATATTTCAGCGGACAATCCGCAGACCAAGGGGAGCCTCAACCTGTCGCCCGAGAAGATCTCGCACGAGCGACGAGGTAGGTGTCTTCTCTTCAGGGATCTTCGGGGGGGAGGGCAAGGGTGGGCGGCGGCCGCTTTCCCTAAACCTTCCAAAAGCAACCTTTTTTTTTAATGGGAAAGATGACATGCGCGAGCTACTTTTTAGGAATAATTAATTAGTTTTTGGTGACATGACAAATATTAGGTGAACAAAATAGATCTGAGGAACGTTTTGCCCGTACGTCAAATCTCTCAGCAAAACCCTCTCCAACCAAATGCACACTGTCAACCCTCCAGCCTGACCTATAAATCCGTCCCTGCTTCTGAGTGGGGCTGTCCCACATTTTACATCATCCTCTGCTGCAAGGTTGGCACATTTTTGTTGGTGTGGATAAACTGAGGGAAGCAGTTTTTTGTGGTTTCCACACTTTCCAAGTGGCAGCGTACAACACTACAGCTTGCACTAGTAATTTTACTGTATTCACTGCGCAGATGCTCTTCCGAATGCATGTTGATTTGCTATTTTAAGAACGTTGACTAGAAAACTAAATTTATTTTTCTTTGTTTCTACGAACTCGCAGTTTGTGAAGTTAGGGTAGTTAGTATGCTCTTATGACATCTGACCCTGGCTAGGCTGTGGCTATTCAACCTCACTTAATTATATAAATAGGGTGGCCTGCGAACCTTTCTTTGTAAACTAAGCCTGTAAGTTGGTGCCTGCACATAGAAAGCTCGAACATCCAGCAAATGTGCATTGAGCAGGTCAGTTCTACTGTGTGAAATTTCAATGCATAGTTCTCTTTCTGTAAAAAATGCGAGCAAAAAAGTTGCAAAAGTCAAGGTTGGGCGCGTTCGCAAATGACCTGGGGCCCTAATCTGGACACTTGGCGAAAAAGTCGGCGAGAAATCTGGCTGCCGTGATTGGCCAACTCCGCACTTGACCTTGGCGCCTGCCAATCAGAGCCGCTGGATTTCTCGCCTTCTTTTTCGCCGAGTGTCCAGATTAGGGCCCCTAGTTAGCGATGGCCATTTACTTGTGGCACCATATCCCAATAGGCGCAGCGAGCAGACGACGCACTCTGTTGTCTGCTCGCTGCGCCGATCGGGAGATGGCGCGACGAGTACATAGCGTCACTAACTCAGTCGTCTGCAAATGATCCCAACCTCGACTTTGCCAAGTTTTTGTTCATTTTTTACGGGAAGACAACTATGCCTTGAAATTTCTCACGGTAAGACCGACCTGTACAGGTACCAACTTGTCTGGCTCATTTTAGTGACAGGTCTGCTTCTGCCACGCTATATATAGTCTTATGCCTACAATATCTTTGCAATTGAAAGAGCTGTAGGACAAACTTGTTGCAAACATTCAGCATGAGAGTGTAATGGCCTATAATAGTGTGAGAGCATAAGCAGTAGCCCAATTAATTTATAACCTTGGGGCACTAAATGCCTTCTGAGGAAAGGTGGTCTGGCTAACATTTAATCGTTAATAGCAATCTGGTTTGGAGTAGGACGTTTTGATAGATTTGGCAACACTTCCTTTTTCTTTTTAAACACCATATTTTTGCCTGAAAGCAGGCAGGCAGTGCATCAAAGTTAAGCATTGTTTGGGGATAATATAGTAGTAAATCTAGCCTTGACAGTAGAAACGAAATGTGTTGAAGTACCATTCTGAGCTGGCACTTGAAAAACACAAATCGCTGGAGACATACTCCACAAAAGCAAATACTGTTTGCAGGGCAAAAAAGATCACAATTTTTTAAGCTTAATTTAGATTTATTTGATTTAAATTAGATTTATTTGAGGGACATCAGATTAATTTGATTTAATTCACTGCAGCTATAAAATAGTGATTTTTTTATCACTGGATGCATTTCTAAACATGGCAGATTGATTGATCAATTCGTCCAATCGCTGATAACAGTTTGAAAGAGAATATTGCTATAAATATAAAGTAGTTTAACAACTTTTTATTGATGTAATCCAGCCACATTCAAACAAAAACAGCCAGATAAAAAGCTTGATTTGTCTTTTATTTCGCATTCTGCGTTGCTCGCTCTACACGGCTTGTACATGACGTCATTCAAAGAGCGTTCAGATGACCACCAGAGAAGAGGAGAACTACCAGGATCCTCTTTTGTGCCTCTTGTTCCCGCATTTGCACAGACATCGCTATTCTCCTCCCAGAAGATTATAGAGGATTAACCTGCCACTCAAACTTCTTACAAAAACTGCTTCCCGCTCCTCCTCTTTCATGGTGTTCATAAATGTGCAATGTGACGTCAGTGCAAGCCATGTATAGAATTTATGTAACTGACGAACAAAGTGTGGGCTAGAAAGAAAGCTCATTGCTCTGATTTGCCCAGAAAAGCACCGCCTTCTGCCCCTGTCTAGCCTGATATAAAACTTCCTCGCTTCATGATTCTTGGATGTAAGTACAAAACAATCACACATAGAAGTCGTGAAATGCTATACAGAAGGTAAATAAAAACATTTTCGGGATTATCTTGCGGGAAAGGTTAGATTTAAATCGTCATAGTAAAACTGCTCCGATTTAAATCACAATTTCAATCTTGATTTTTATTTTCCACGTTGGCTGTCTTTGCCCGTCTTATGTTTTGCTCCCATTTGTTTTCAGTCTATCGGTGAATTTCGGGTTAAAAGTGGATCCAGATTGGCTCGCTTACCTTTGTAGTTTTCAATGAGACTAAAAACGAAACATCGAGGCATTCTTTTTTTTTTCTTTGATTACATTTGCTTTAAAGTAATTGTCTCCACATGCCTGACCGAGGTGTTTATTGGTTAATAAATCTGAAACGGTGATCCACAACAACATTCTTGTCGGTCACTCTGAGACTTCACTTTTGTCCCAGGACACTAGCAAAGTCCCGTGGGTGTAGCCTCATTGTATCCCTCGGTTTGTGAGCGTGCCACACTGGTCTGCAGTGTTCGTGAAGCAGCGTCGGGATGTGGAACTGGTGGATGCGGAGCAGCGTCCGGTGGGGGAGGCTGCCCCTATGGGCTTGGGATTGTTGGCAAGCACGGACCACGTGACCATGGGCATCCTCCGGCTGCAGCCCGGTGTGGCCAAGAGCTACTCTGAGACCCGGGACCATGACGTGGTGCGGGCACAGCAATTCCTTCTTCGCTTTCTTGACACAGGTTGCGTTATGTGGCTGGCTCCCGGTCTAGTCTTTCCGGTGTCCGGCAATTTCACTCTGCCTTGGTCTTAATTCCGTTTCAGATACTCCTCGCAACGGACAACACTGTGGTAGTCGAGAGAACGGACACTTGGGAGCTGCTCACGAAGAACAGCAGCTTCTACGTCTGCCAAGGCGAGTCTTCGCATGTCGAGCTTCTTCCTTTCGGCCGAGCCGGAGTCGGGTTTAAATGCTCGTGCTGCGTCTTCATCAAATGCTGGCATTGTGACTTTCATCTAGGCTAGATTAATTTGCGCCCAATTCGAAAAGTTTCTTTCTTCTTCTTTACGGCACAGGTTTTCGACTAAAGTGCAAAGTCTTTGCGGTACTTTATGACATTTTGCGTGCGTCGCCTGCTAAGCCGTGCCTGCACTCGCACTTGCACCAGACAAAAATGTGCACATCTCCGTACCATGTCACGGCCAAAGCCAGTCAATAAAATTCGCGGTTTGTAATTCTTACAAGTACCGACAACCATCGTTCTGCGAAGAGGCGATACGCGTGCCACGAGCGAGTGCTCCAACGCCATTTGCTTCCAACGGCTGCACGAGGCACGGGTCGCGTGCATTGGCGCACTTGACGCTATTCGTAAGACCAGCACAAACGCATCAAGGGACCTTAGTTACAACTGGAGCTAGAGTTCCAACAATGTGATTGCTGCATCACAAAGCTCATTCTGCTGCCTCCTGTCAAACTCAATATATACGCAATTTGTTTAAGATGATGTCCCACTTTCTTTAAATCAAAACTAAATCTTAAAATCCCTCATGGGGCCCCCCTACATTGCTTTCGTTATGGTGGGCATGTGGGAGCATCTTTAAGGGTTTCAGGTATTGGTTTAATGGGCCTGGGATTCAATTTAGTCTTTGTATCCAGCACGGATACTCGAAAAGTCTGAAATCTCATACTTTATTGCTGGCTTAGTTTGTTAGTGCTACCCACACGACACAGCTGCAGTGCAGGGAAGTGCTACTTTCAGAGCAGACATCTTATAGTGGCACTGCCTGTCTAATCATGCCTTTGTGCTTCTCTGGCTGTGCCATCATCAGCTCTTGGCAAATCTTGGGCTAACAACGACCATATGTACCCCTGAAGCGAGAAAAACAGCTTCAGAATTGTGGTATATCTGAATCGCAGCTGGAACTGTTATTTCAATTAATGGAAATTACGAGCTGTGTTTGCCAGTCTTGTTGCTGGTGGCTCGTTACCCTGCCACTGCACTGCAGTGCAGCTAGGTATGCAGGGGAAAATGACGCCCTCATGGAAAGGTAGTTTGTGCAAACGCGTTTGTTGTTTGAACAACTTTCAATTTTTTGTGAGCCTCAAATAAAACGATAGAATCAGGATATGTAAAATAGAAATATACTATAGGATATGCTGCTGTGGTCTTATGCAGTTTAAAGGAAAAGTAAAAACAGCAACAAGAAAACTGAGGACAAGACGAAGTGTACAGAGCACTGACCCTCAACTGATTTATTGGAAGAAAACACAAATCGACATGCTCCACGCATCATCAAAAAACATAAGTCGCCACCCCCCGAACGTGTCAAACCTGCTCAGGAATGCCAACTCTTTGTCAAATAATGCGATTGAAGGTAAAGGTCACCTGTTGAGTGTCAAAATGAAGGTCACCTGTTGACTGTGTCATCCTAAGATACTCGTTTTATCAAGAATAGGTCTGCAACCGCACCTATCACAGTGTACTGCCAAGTTGCCTGCTGGCAATGATCTAACCGATAGAGCATGCTCTCTTGCACATCGAGATGCTGCTGCTGGACTTGTTCGTACGTGCCCTATGACAAAAGATACCACAGCTTGCAGAAACAAAGTGTACTTTCAATACGCATAAAACAAATTGCCAACAGTGTTGTGTGCTAGCACCAGGGCACTCTTAATGGGCTCTGTGTTGGTAGTTTTGTTGTTTCCCTTGTGTTTTCCTCTGTGTCTGACATGTGTGGCATGCCATTTCCTCTCCCAGGGGTGCCTTACTCTGTCCGGAACATCTCGTCGGCACCGGCTGAAGTCTGCTTCCTTCTGGTTGCCCCCTGCTGATTCTCCGCCATCAACCGTCAACTCATTTTGTACACTTATTCATATCACAACTTGGCCAATTTTATTTATTGACAATGTTGACGTCTTGACTAGACGGTCACAGTTTTAATGCATTTTTTTGTGCACTTTTAGACAAAAATTTTGTGCTTACATGAACAGAGGGGCAGTCTCTGTCCAGACAGCCTCATTTGAATGATTTAAAATATATGTGCGAATTTTCCACAAACATTCATGTCCTCTTAAACATTCATGTTTTCATTGACCTGCCAAGATTTTGTGAAAAATGTCCAACATTTTACAAATGTGCATGCGTGCTTGTGAACAAGAAGTTTTCTGAATACATTGCAATCCACTTATAATTATATTGAAAAAAAAAAGAACGGGAAATTCAGTCGTTATGACCGATTATCGTTGTACCTAAACGAGAAACTCTAGAAACTGATCGCTATGAACAGTACATTGTTATGCGTGATATACTAGTTGTAAGTGGATTGCACTGTGTATATATTTCGAATGTCAACTTGATTTAGTTTTTACTAATTTATAAGTAGCGACTATTTCTATGTCCACCGTCAAAATATTTCTACAATTATTTGACGTCTGCGACGTCACTTCCATAGAATGTCAAAATAGTGACTTTATTAGTTTGACATCCCCAGTCAATGCAGCCGTCGCAGTAATAGGTGTCTCATAGTTTCGTCTCATTTTGTCTCGGATGGTTTTGTTAGTTTCGGTCCTAGTTGGCAGTGGAAATGTTCTAGTCAATGTGTGTGTGGGACTGGCTCGACAGTTGATCCTTAAAGGTGCACTGACACCCCAAAGGTTTTTTTTTTTTTGTTTTTTTTTTTTCATTGTCTAAAACGATGCAAATTATGGTCATAGACACGCAAAACAAAAGCGCGCTCTTCTTTATTTTTGCCGTTTTTCTATTTTGCACCTCACCTCCTCGCTTCTTTTGATCTTTGATGTCAAAAATCATGAAATTTAGAAGCTTTGTAGGCAACATTTCCATAACATTTAATGACGGTAATCGTAAAACATGTTTTTTAACACAGTTGCAAATGCACTACGGCCCTTCTTTTTGAAATACCAAAAATCAAGGTCCGTTGTGATGTCGCCTCCTCGATTTTTATCCTCCCTCAAGTAACGTGGCGGCACTCGACACCTGTAGCCAAGGAGGTTAGAAGTACCAGGAGAGGGCACGTTGCAATATTGGTGAAGCCTAGTCATAAAAAGTTTAAACGTAGTTGTGGCCAACGTGACCGCAGATCTCTCTGGGAATTGGTGCACGTGACATGTCACGTGTGAGATGGATGGTTGATTGTAGAAGGATTCCTTGCAGGCTTGCGCGCGCTCCGTCCGGTAGGTTTTATCAGGTCGAAGGCTAGACTGGTGTATTATAGTACTCCATAGCTAGACGAAGGCTAGCTACGGTCACGTGATGTTGTCGTGTTGGTCTAATAAATGAGGATAGTAAGAAGGAAAATGAGAAAGAGGCAAGGCGTCAAGGGAGCACGGCTTGTGGAGGCTACGCGGAGTCGGGGAATCGGACGAAGTAGTCTTTTTTTTAGGTGCCCGACGACCTCTCAGACTTCGAAAAGGAAATTGTCAAACGGTAAAAACAACTGGGTTGGGTGTCTGTGTATCGTAGTTTCGGTTGTGACTCCACCAAAGCAGCGCCGTCTGCTTGAAGCGATGGGCAGCACGGCACGCACGCAGAAAACCGGTTTCCCGGTACGCCGGCACCCTCCTCTCCCGCTCCTCACCTCCTCGTTTCGGCTCGCAACGACACGTTTCGGACTGGAGGCGCGAAAGAAACTTTTTGTTCCTCCATATCGGCACATCAAAAGATCCCCAGATGGTCGAAATTAATCCTCAGTTCGCTGGGGCGTGCCAGATGCCCGTTGTTGGTTTGGCACATAAAACCTCGAACTTTGACTTTGTTCCTCCATATTGTGTGGGCAAGTCTTTGTATAGTTGCAGTCTCGCTTTACATCTGGCTCCTGCCCTGTTTTCGAGCAGATTTTCGAGTTTGTTGTTTAGTTAAGGGCCGTTCACACTCTTGCGACCGACTACGACTGAGAGAGACGAGATCTTTTAAAACTTCTTTTATGTTTTTAGAATGCGGGAACACACTGGCATTGTGGCGCCATCTATGCGGTGACCCTGGAACTGCATTTCACAAGAGCGAAGGTTATGCGGGGTTTGCGAGGTCAAATGTGCGTAATACCCATAGAAGGGCTCGTTTATAACATTGAGAAAAGTTTTTCAAGCCAAGAAAGAAAGGATAATGCCCGAGAAATAAAAAAATATGCCGGACCGCCGAGTTTACACTGCTTCCCAATAGATGGCGCCAGTGTGTTCTCTGGTTTAAGAAGTTTTAAGGAACCCAGGTTTAAGAGGTCGCAAGAGTGTGAACGGGCCTTAAGGTTTTCTTTTTGGTTCGTGCATAACAAGTGGGTCAACTACGAAAAAATCCGGATGTTAAATAAAAAGTTCTGAATGCTCCTTGATGTTTCTTGGCCGGTGCAAATAAACGAAGGTTCTGGCGCGGTTGTACGAGATACACAAATTTTGCAGTCAACGGCAATTTTCTACGACACGACATTCAGCTACTTTGTTTGTATAAAACACGTGAAATGGACCATGAAAAGCAATGGTGTCGTATTCTGAAATGGTTGGGCAGAACCAAGCGAATGTTACCTGTGGCCTCATAGCCCCAGTTGTACTTTGAGAAGTTTTTTTGCACTCCATATTGCAACGAAATAAAAGCTGCAGTCCACTGCACATTTGTTTCCGGAAAATGAGAGTTGAACCGTGATGCAGCCTGCAAACGAGATATTTGTTTGATTGCCACTTTCTATCTCTTTCCAGTCGGAACTCCAAAGCTACAAATTTTTAAGTTTAAAATGTCAAGATAAGGAGAAGCATATTTTGGCGGGGGATGTCGAAACGATTTTTAAAATGTTTCCAAGTCTTCAGGAAGTGGCGTCATGGACATACAAATAATATTTAAAATTATTTTGAATGTGGAGGTGGAAATAGTCGCTACCTAATTTGTTCAACTAATGCGCCAACAGAAAGCTGACATACTGCTGTTTAAATTCTGTTGCCATCCACATTCCATTGAATGTATGTTAAATATTTTTTTCTTGTGCAAATATTCGAGTAGTAGTTTCGAGTAATATGCTATTCGATATTCGCTTCGAGATGAACTGCAATATTTATATTTTCTGAGTAGTGATTTCCCTACACACCCCCAAGGCACCCCCCATGTTTTTCTGAAGGCACCCCCCTAAATTTGCAACGACTCCTTTATTCTGAATCCCTTCCCCCTAATTTCGATTCCTGGGGAAACCCGTTTCCAAGTGTTAACTGCAGCAGGTTAGCCCCGCTGAGCATGCTTCTTACCAAGCACCGCTGCATTGCGGCGGAGCTACACTTGTGTATCTCACTTCCATGGATGTGGCTTTGCTTAGTGCACCGGTGCTTGGTAAAAAGTGCACTCAACGTGGCTAACCTGCTGCGATCAACATTACGAAAAGTACAAATACCGCGGCCGCGTCCTTATGAGAAAAGCTCATTTCTAAAGCAGGATGGTGCACGTGTGTGCCTGATCTATTTGTAGAAGAAACGGAACATGCCGAACTTTTGAAGAAAACTTTGGCGAAGATTCAACAAATGTCTGCACACGTACGAGAACGTAATGGGGCCATGGATTACAAATGGACGCTATGTGGTCGTGTAGTTACCATCGTACAGTGTAGTACTACCAGCGGTTACGGCGACGTGTGTCAGCATTTGTGATTGTGGTTCTCTTCAATATTTTCTGCCTCAAGAACAGATCAACCAGGAATTGATGCAGTCCGCGAGTGACGAATGTGATTTTAATTTTATCTTTCCAGTGATGCAATGAGGTAGTTGACACAATGACTGACAAGTGTTTTAAAGTACTCCTCGCAATTATAATGCTCCTGTTTTCGGCTCACAAGTAGTTTGTGCCAGAACAAAATAATGATGCTTTTTGTTATCGTTATTTCCCGGTTTTCACGTATTTGCATAAAACTAAAGACAGAACTATCATGCTCGACATTGCACATCCGACATTCCTAAATCTTCCCATCTTCCTACACGTCGTGTGTGTCCCAACATCAGAAATCGGCGTTTTAAAGGTTAAAAACGAGACGTTGCGAATATGGTACGCACACTTTCATGCAAAGCTGACACCAAATGACTCAAATTGAAAAACATGCATATTTACAATAATATTGTTATCTCTTCTGGTGGAGGCTCAGCAGCCGTTGCATTCATTTTTGCGCACAAAACGGTGACTCCCAGAGAAAGTAAGAACAGTGTTATTGCCTTTATTTTAACAACATGCACTATAGTCGGTAACAGTTAAAGAGTAAAGTGGAAGCTCCTCCCACCTCTTTCCACTTTAGCAGAGCGAACGCTGAAGAGAAGGCGACCTCCTTTCCAGCATTTGCTCTGCTAAGTGGAAAGAGTTGGGGCGAACCTCCCGAAGTTTGGGTTCGAAATTGTCGAACCTCGCCAAGGTTAGAATTTGAAAAGTTTGCAGCTTTAGAACTCCGCTGAAGTTCGAATTCAAAAAGCTTTGACGAACGTATTAAGAGATTGACCGCTATAAAATGCAGCCGGTTACTAATGATAATGATGCAAGTACGATTCAGCATTTGCTGTAGCGCATCGGTCTCGCTCTCCGTGCACGACTTTCCTTAACGACGACGTTTAAAAACAACTAATGCTATAAAGGATGCTCCCAGCGAAGTGCCCCGCTTGAACTTCAAGCCTGCAGATCAGAAATCTGTTGGCCTACAGGTTACCTCGGGGCAAGTTACGAAGTTGTGCGCGGGAGAGGCTCTGTGCGAAAGTCGAAAGAAAAAGGTGCGAGGGCGAGGTCACCCCAAAAAGATCATTCAGCGCTTTACAAACCCGTCGTTCGTAGAACAATCAGCTAACGGTGAGACTCGGTGCAATTTCAACTCCACTTCACACATTGACATCTTGTGTTATTGACATTTGTTGCCTGGAACATGGGGGTGAACTTGGTTTGAACTTTGTCAAACCTTTGTTCAGAAGTTCGAAGTTGGTTGTACTTCTGAACTTAGCAGATTCGAAAGTTTGAAAATTGTCGAATTTTTGAGCATAGTAAGTTCGAAAATGTTGAATCTCATAACACAAAAATCGGAAGTTTGAAAACAATCAAATTTCTCAGCGCCAAAAATTTGAAAGTTTGAAAATCGTTGAAATTTTGATGTAATAAGTTTCATGTTTCAAAACTTTGCAAACCCCTTGATTCTATCTTTGAACCTCAAGTTCGCAAAAAGTTTGCGGCATCTCTAGTCTATACACACTTGCAGGCTTGCACTGATGAGGCCTCAGAACAGAAATTCGTGTATTGTGATTCGCAACTGCGGCCGCTACTACCCAACCTCCTCGTCACACCATCTCTGCAAGAAGTCGCTGTAAAATTGCCAGTAGGGTACACACAAAATGACACTGATACAATTATCTTGTAGAACATCACCTTATTTAGTAATAACTGTGTTAATATGCAATACAGGTTGCATTTAAGTATACAAAGAAAAAAAACTTCGTTGGAAAAAAAAATAAATGTCAATTTTAAGACTGGCAACAATGTAATTTTGCCGAATCTTCAGAAAAGTTAAGTTGTGCCGAATCCCAAGACTCGGCACCGAATTTTGGATTCAGCAAAAGATCAGCCCATCACCAGTTTAAATCAACCTAGCATTATTGACGAAGTGCACAACCAAAAGCGTCGCTGTAATTGGCCGTGCACTATTGGCCGAATGCTCACTACGACGTCCTGAGTAGAATTATTTCTGCTGTCATCAAAAGAAATAAGAGCCAAGCCAGTCTCAACTCTGTCGGTGTTCATTTAGGACCGTGGCGACTAGTCTTCCATTGCGCTTTTTATGTGCCCTCGAACTTATTGCTCGCTACTAATAAGGCTGAACCGCATGTCGGCAATTTAGTGATCGACGAGATTAGCGACAGCGACGAAGATTTCTCACTGTCGCTCGGTTTTTGGATTTCTAGAAAACGTTGCTCATCGCCTTGGTCGCTTGCTCCCGTCGCCTCCATGCGGTTTGCCTCGTTGCGCGACTGACAGAGCAACAGCGAAGTGGTTTGTAGTTGCTTGCCAAATCACTAACATGCGGCTTATAATATAATCCTGGTTGCGACATCAGGGATAGGAACCACAAGTCGGCATCACCGAAACATGTCACCGCGTAACCCACCGCAAACCCTCGTGCATATAGTACACAAATTTGGGAGCACTCGCCTGCCAACAACCGTACGTGTGAAACACGCTGCTCAATGATATGATTCAGCAGTATTAACTTCCTCCTATGTATACCATTGATTTTCATTTTTCTGTGGCATTTTAGAAGCGGGGACAGCAGTGGAGGGACTATCGACCTTGGTACAGCTGTTGCCAGATATGGTTCGGTCGATGTGTTCGTGCAGCATGCAGGTTTAACTCAAAAAGTGAGTGCAATAAATTATGTTCTGCTTTGCACCATTTAAAAATCAACACCTCCATCACCTGCAATATGCTCCAGCCCTGACCGCTTCGCATTTGTAGCCAAATAAATTAATCTCGCCACACTGACCGGTGTCAGCGAGCAGGTGCACGGGATATCCTGAATTCCCCATGTGCCACCTTGGAACTGCAAATAGCGCCGGCACTGAACACACTCTTCAATTTTGCAGTTGTAAAATTCACTTGCAAGCCGCTAGCTTTATTAGTGCATACACAGTGATCTTTGCTACATATGCATGATGCAAGACTGAAAGAGAAGTTTACTTAACGTCTTAATAGCTTGGTTAGGTTACCTGCATGTCATTTTGTGAACCATAGCACCAACATGACCTCCAATGGTTGGCGTCCCTCAGATGGCTTCGGTTTCGCTGTAGACGCTCAAAAACCGAGCTGAGCCCAGAGGTGTTTATAAAACTACACAAAATGATAAAACAAAATATATATATATATTTTGTAATTCAGGGACACCGACCAAGCTTAAAATAGTTGCAATCCCAGATATGAAAATATTAACCCGAGCTGCCCTTTAAAGCATAGCTATTATAACGTATGCTTTCAAACAGAGAGCAAGACAGGCTCCTCCATTCTTTCCACTTTAGAAGAACGAAGTGTCTAGCGTTACGTTCAGCGTAACCCAAGTTACGTCCAAATCTCGGCTTTCCCTAGGTTCACAAGGGAGAGAGGAGGGCGGGGGGGAGCATCAGGTATACGTGGACGTTACACTAGCCACAGTGTTAGAAGAAATGGAAAGTGAAGGAGCTCGTCCTACTAACCTTAACCTCCAACAATGTTCAAAACATTCCACCCATGAATAAATACAGGGAGTTTTCAAAAAGAGAACAGTGTTTTTCGGCTCAAATGAACAAACTAGGCATTGCAGAAAGCTCAAACTCCTTGAGAATATAAAGCTAGAAGTTGGGATAGAATGCAAAAGTTTGAGACGACATAGCCTGGATTAATATAATTGACAAAACTAAAACGTCTCTCCAGTCCACCCAAGCCCAATATTAAAACAAGAAATTATATTGTGAACACTCTTGGCACCATTCATCATCAGTGAAAAAACTTCTCAGCAAGAGAACATTGTTTTCTTCCTTGCCGACAAGTTTCATATAGAAGCTGCAGGCACACGCATCCTTTTGTTTTGACAAATTCTGGCTTAGTTGGATGTCAGCTGTTTTCCTCAATCATATTTTATCCAGGTAACGTCATGTTCTCAAAACTTTGCATTCTATCCTGATCGCTAGCCTCACATTCTCATGAAGTTTGAGCATTCTGTAATGCACAACTTATTTACCTGTGCCAAAAAACACCTTTTCTCGCAAACTCCCTGTACTTACCTTGATCCTCATAAACCCAGGCAGCACACAAGTGTCTCACATAAAACTCACTTGAAAACCGCCCAAAGCTTTCCACAACCAACCATAACAAATCTTAGCACACCCATAATGCACATACAACATATTCTGGGCTCCTTTTCCATTTACTACTGTGCGACGAGATTACATTTTGTCGCAACGCGAAATGTTGCAACCCTACAATTGTAATCTATGGAACATTGTAACATGGCAGTGACCGGTTATAACCCCGGTATAAATGTCTGCCATCCAGTTCGCATGTCCACCGGTTCAAAGGCTCGTCACATTTGAGATGCTGCCGCAAGAACATTTAAAAAAACAACTCGGCTGTAGCTTACCCACAAGTTACAGTACTCTGGGACACAGAAAGACAGTCAGCCACTGTCCTTCAGTGCCAAAGGACTGGCCAACCAGGTCGTTCAAAGGTTAATCCCAAACACAAATATTACGAAGACGCCAAAGAACTACCCAGCCGCAGTTCAAAGTACTAGCAAGAGGATGCAGAAGACTTGAAAGACGACAGTTGTAAAAGATGATTTTATTTACACAAAGCACAGACTGTTCCAAAGCAGTGGCTGACATTCTCTTTGCACTACCATAGGGTTGTTTTAACTCCCCTCTGGTGGGGGATACAAAGGACGTGTGTGAAAAAAAAAAAAACGAAGAAAAAAAATCTTTTTTTCCAATTAAAGTCACATTGCATACTTCCTGGTCCACTCCCTAGCTAGCTCGTTGTACTTCTCCCTGTCACTCTTGTAAATCTTTGCTATTTCAGGAACCAGGGGATCGTCTGGGTTGGGGTCACACAGCAGCGAGCAGATGGAAAGCAACACTGCAAGGGAGGAGAAAAATAAACAGACGAAACCATTCGTCAGGGTAGTAGTTGCGACTGCTTTGAAGAAACTATTGCTTTTTAGTTGTGTGGCGCTAGAATATGAGGCCACTGAACCAACCAACTTGCTAAACGTTAAGTATTTTTAGGGGAAAAAAATTAAATTGAAAACCTAATGGGAGGACACATTGTAGAGCAAAGTGATGTCGGACATCCCAAGTCACATGGGTTGGACTACTTCCCCGCTACTTCTCCCAAGTTGGTGTTTGTAACATCTTGGATGCTTCAGAGCACAATTATTAGGGGCGAAGCTCCTTAGGGGCTAGCCATGTCCATATGTACGTCCGCCGTGCCCCTGCTCGTAAGTTCAGCAACAAGAGCAAGAAAAAAAAAAAAAAAAAAAATAGGGGGCTCTGAGATGCCATCTTATCTGTCTTAAAAAAAGAAAAAGAAAACCACACACTACTGACATGAATGAAAACGGCACCATCAGCACTACCCATGGCCAAAATCAGTATCATCAACACCACCCGAGCTTCGCCCCAATCAACATCATTCACCACGTGGAGATGCGGTAATTTTTATTTTAGAGACTTTACTACATACTTTCATTATTGGTAAAGATCTGCCTCAGAGACAGCTTACACTCAAATATTGTAAGCTCTGTCTGCGTCAACATTACAGCAAACCAGGGAAAAGAGCCCCGAAAAGCCGGTTAAACCGGTAATTTTCGAGCTAATACAAATCAAGCAACATGCAACAAATTTGTTTCTTTTTTTTTTTTTTTGAGTCAATACATTGCACATTGTTTCCGTAAGATCTAGGCATGCATAAATTCTTTGCCAGAGGCCCCAACAACTTTTCTCCCACAAAAAGTTTAAAAGTAGGAGTATAATTAAATGCACTCTAGTTAATTTCTTCTATATTGCCCAATCTGTCATAACATGCAGATGATTAAACGGTGATGATTTAACTAAAAGCTTCTCAGTAAGCTTGGAACAGAATGCCTCCTTTGATGACCAATACGCACATTTTCTTTACACCCATTCTGAATCGGTCATTCGTATCTTTACCACAACTACATGTACAGACATTGCTTGTGCATTCCTGAAGGTGCAGACAAGATTTTTACCATCAATTCATAATGACTGCAATTGTTTACTCGCACTCATAATTCTCTAACACTCTTTTTTCATTGCTAAAATAAAATATGCGTCGCCGAACACTTGTTCTCTGCCCAAATGTAGTGCTAGAGGCCTGGACCACATGCAAATGTACCTAAGATACAGATACCGAGACATGGAAGTGCCTAGGTTTGTACCTCAGGTGCAACGAAAGTACCTAGATACCCGATTTCCAGTTACTTGTACCTAGGTATTTTACAACCCTGATATTGAATTATGGAGGTTCCACTTTACTTCATCAGTGTTACACAGTCAATATCCACGACCTCACATTTGAAACTACCATGGAACAGTAAATTCAATGACTCCAGCTAAAGAAAAGCAAAACTTCCTCATGGCCAAACTTAAAACTGCAACAAATTAACAATGGTAATAATATAACAAACAATCAAACAGGTCGTGCATGATTGCAAAAAAATGGTTAGGGGTGGCATTTCAGAATAAATTAGGGTCTGCGATGGTAGCAATCAAACCGAGGCATTCCTTCCTTGGCTGTGCAAGGACGGAATGCTGAGTGAAATGCCCTTGTTAATGAGCTTGGGATTCCAACTTTATGCTGATGATCAACACGGGACAAAACATAAAAAGGGGAGGGCATTCATCTGATCGCAAAGATGGGATCACAAAAATAAATTTTGGGGAATAGACATAAGCGTGAAATTTGACGCCACAGAGAGAGAGATGGCAAAGATAAACAAATTTTTATCGACGCGACCCTAGCAGTGCAATGACAGTTCAATAGAATGAAACTAGCTGAGTGATTTTGAATGGACTCCACAACGAGGGTATTGTGACCGGGATCCCAGATAGAGGCTGCATACTGTAGCTTTGGTCCGATTAATGTTTTATACAAGACTAATTTAAGTAAAACTGGTGCCAATGAGAAGTTACATTTTAGGCAGCCCAACATGCAGTTAGCACGAGAAGCGATACGCCAAATGTGAGGTTTCCATGAAAGGTTAGAAGTAAACGCCGAGATACTTGTAAGATGACACTTGTTCCAAAGAGTTGTCAAGGCAACAACTCTTCGGAACTTTGTTTCCGAAGAGTTGTTTACGGGACACTTATGTGTTTACATTTATTAATGTTTAGCTTTAATAGCCTTGACTCACACCAACAAGAGACGGAGTTAATGTCCGATTGAAGTGCAAGCGAGTCAGAAACGCCTTGAATTTCACGGTTGTTAACACAAAGAGGCCATAGCAACAAGCGACAAAAGGACATGGAGGTTGAAGTAAAAATGAAGAGGTAGAGCCTTACCTTTAGATATTGTGAGGGCAGGGGACCACTGTGACCTCAGGATATCCAGGCAGATGCTGCCATTGCTGTTTATGTTGGGGTGGTAGATTCTTGTCGTAAAGGCTACCTGCAACCGTGACCGCAGGAACATTCAATTAAGCGACAGGTTCAAAGGCACGGTTCAGCAATCTGCTCAATTTATGCAACTTGGAGCCAGCTGCTGACGAAGGGACATGAAACCAACCAGGCCTGCATTCTAGTTGCTAAGAGAGGAGTAGCTTAGGTGTAAAGTTTGAATTAAAAGGTCAGCCCAGGGTTCATGCAGGTATCAAAGACGAAAATTGTGGTTTTCAAGGAGCATATCTCATTGAAAGCATTACTTGCACAAGACAAGATATGAAGAGGATTTTGCAAGCCAGTCCCTGTAATTTCGTTGGTCAGCCTCGAGCATTGGAACTTGGATTTCCCAGGCATTTTTTTTTTTTTTCCACCTGCAGACACTGCATTAATTTCGACCGCTACGATTACACGATGCAAAAACCACACCAGCCTAAGTATAACGTTCAAGCTCCGACGGCAACTTCTGATCCCGTACTGGAAATAACACGAAGGAGTGGATTGAATATGGATTTGGCTATGCCCTTCAGAACCGAAACTAACTCCAGTGTGGCCAGGCATTCAAAAACATCTGCTAAGTGTGTCGTGTCTGAAACGCAAAGGCTACTCTGTAAAATTTAAACAAGAATTTAGACACTTCAAAACAAGTTATAATAAAATCATTCGAAATCTGCGCGTATTGTAGGGCTTTCATTGGTCCACACAGTGTAGTCTGCAAGGAAAGTGTTTACATGCTTGTCTCTTGCCCTGAGATGGATAGGAGGTTCTGTACTATAGGACTTGGTAAATGTGACAACTAAAACCATTTTAAACAATATAAAATCAAAAACAACCTTCTCCAAAAATGACTTCAGTGCCCCTTTACCACCACTTCAGTTTTCCCACCAAACTTGGAGGGGAAGTTGAAGTCACTGACTTAAACAACTCCAGTTCCCCCGCTAAATTTAGCGGAGAAAATCATGTCACGTGACCCGACAACACACGACACATGAATGAAATTTACCCACTAAATCTAGCAGGAAAAGTGACGTCCCACAACCTATACACCAATTTAGTTTTCCAGCTAAATTTAGCAGAAAAATTGACGTCACTTGACCTATGCACCCGATTTCCCTGCTCAATGCTAACAAAAAGTAAAAAAAAAAAAAGTTTTTTTTTATTGGACAAAAAAAGACTGTTTCATGTCTTCTAAATAATTTTGAACGATCATACCACAAATACAGCATTGAAAGCATTATAGAACTAAGGCGATAAAGGTGGGTTCCAGTTTTTTAGGAAGTGTTCTAAGGGGTCGTGAAACAAACGTCCTTCCGAAATTCTGAGCTATATGTCTCACACTCGAACGTAATGATCGTTCGGATTCACTCACTAGAGTAAAAAAAACAATTTCGACTTCCCGGGGAGCTTCCCTCCCAGTTCTACAAACATGTCACGATAGGTAACCAATAGGAAATTTTTGTTGTCTACGACAGGTGGCGACATAGACCAGACCCGACTCCAACAGTGGCATCATGTCATCATGCACGAATGTTAATGGATGACATCTGATGTCTGATTTTATGCCCAAAGACTTGCAAGCTCGTTGAGCTCTTACGTTGCCTATTACGCCGTGGTCGGCGTTTAGGTTTCGAGCCGTACGCCGACACCATGCGGTGTTTGTGTTACCGTATGTGGCGCGGCAGAGGAGCGTTTGCGGAAATTGTTTTCAACTTCGATCGGCCGAACAGAGTCCCGACACGATCAACAAATGACGAGCTACAAATATGCTCACGCTTCGACCAGAAAATTGCTGATCTGCTCATGGAGAAAGGACGAGTAGGCAGGAAATATATGAAAAATGAATTGCCTTTGGGTACTTGAGAAGCAGCACGTCAAGTTTCCGGCGAGGAAGATCATGGTAAAGGAAAATAACGGAAAACTCGCGACCTTAAAGCCAATGTCCTAGGATACACCCGCGAAAATGAACGACCCAATACGGATGTGCTGGTAGCAGAGGGTTTACGCGTGCGTCTCTCCTCGATACCGACATTGCAGAGGTCTGGATTTGAATCCCCTTGGGATTATAATTTTTTATTGCTCCACTTTAATCCACAATGAGCTTCCACAACCGCATTCCACGAAGAATGCGAGCAGCGGCAGGAAGAGCAGCATGGTTACAATGCATACCAAACCAGAGAAGACCCGGATATGTTTGAAACCGAAACTGCATCCCAATCACGTGATGTAGTGGTGTCTAACTAATAGAAGAATGCCAAAAGTAAATGATTGTTTTTATCACTCCAAATTTAATATTTGAAGGTTAAATAAATTTGAGTTTATGTCTTTCTTCTTGTACGATAGATTTCCTAAAGTAAAGTTTAATCCGAATAGTGGAATGGAGAAAAATGTGTTCAAAAAGTTCGAACCCCTACCTTTTTTTTAACGTCTGTGGACCGAATATAATTTATAAAAAAATTAACTATGTACAGTAAACTACTGAAAATTTTTGGGAATACTCTTTAGATGTTGGTAGATGTAAATATGGCATTTTTCAAAATACTTTTTTTCTTCCAGAAATTTTTTTTCTGGGTAGTGTCCTTTTAAAAATATAATTGCAATTTACAAAATTGTTTAATGTGAAGTAAAATACCTATAGTGAGAGTTAGAGACAAAATGTATTGCAGAAAATGGAATTCTAGAGAAAAACAATACCTATGGAGCCCTGCATATCCGTGGATTACCTACGAATCATACGCAGGTAATCCACGGATCATACGCAGGTAATCCACACTAAACTGGTGGGTAGAGATAAAAATTAATCAGATTTGGTGGATCGCAGATCAGTTGCGGATGCCAGGGGCTGCGAAGCGGACGTCCGCGGGTCCGGATCTACATTTTTGCTAAGGTGGCCCATAAATGTGTGTGACCCCACAATGTTGAGTGAATAAGTAAGTGATACTATAAAATGCATCAGGGAGAACATTGTTCTTTGCATCAAGGAAGATTTTTTTCTCCCCATGGATTGTTTTAGAACGTTCTATCTTGTCAAAAACGTTCCTAGAAAAAGAGCATCACATGGTCCCGGGAAAGTGTGTTCTTGTTTGGCAGGGAAAGAGCGGAAAACATTTTTTGGGGCAAAGAAAACCCAAAACGTACAAGCCACAAGAAAGTAGAAGAAGCCCACAACTAGCTTCTTCGCCTACAAGTAGATAGAAAAAGACTGAACTCAACCTTCCAAAGTGGTGACGCTTGAGCCAGCACAAGTTTCTGTACCTCATTATTGTAGCGCAGTTCATGCATGCCATTCCAGCATCTAGCGCATCAACGGAGAGATACATCTCTTAGCGGGTATTCATTTGAGAGAGACGAACCAGTCTGAATTCATTCATGTTGACGATACTCTGCTTCTTCGACACAGGAACCTCGACAAGTGAAACATTGCGTGTGGGACCGTTTTCTTTTTCTCGGCAGTTGGCACCGAGTTGTTTTTAAGTGTATGGTTCTGAGCATGCAGTTGAGGGTTCATACTTAAAAGTGAAACAGATAGGAGGTGTTGCCATTATCGAATATTGTGATATTTCACCAGTGGTGTACTTGTGCCTTACCAGATATACACGAGCACTTAGTTGCAGTAGAGTGCCTTTCCTCTCCAACTTTTTTTTTTAATGCTTGGCCTAAGTAAAATGACAATCTTATTAGTCTGTCATTTGTTAATTTTCATGTTCATAATATATGCATCTGCTTTAAGTGTGTTTTACAAACCAAAAAGGAAAATAAATATTAAAGTTTCCTTCCTTTTGAGTGCATCTTCTGCACAGAGCATCAGTGTCACAGACTCCCAAGATCTCATAACTGCGATCATATTTCCAGCGATACGAAGTGTCTCTTGAAGGATGATCGCTTAATATATATGATAAAACAACATGATAAAAAATTATTTTCAGCTTATTTTCACACAAAGAGTTATTTCTAGAACGGTAAGCAGACTGCTTATAAAATACCATCCAGATGTTCTTTTTTATGCTTGATTTTATGACTTAAAATGAACGCACCGATTGAGGGTTGGATGTGGTTCTTTCTGAATTTAGTGGATACGGTTCAGATGCAGATGCAATAACTGAAGATTGCGGATGCGGTTCAGATGTGGATACGAAGTCTGAATGCAGATGGGATGCGGATGATCAAACTTATTAGTGCAGGGTTCTAACAATAACACCCAAAAGGACATAACAAAGATCAAAACTTTTTTTTTGTTTTACAATGTTTAGTTTTCTTCCTGAAAGGTCAGCTTTTCAGATTATGAGTAGCTTAACCCCTTAAGTGGGGACTTTTTTGACCAAAAATATTTACAATATTTTTAATATTCTCAATATTCTCAACAATGTTCTCAAAACCTAAAACAAATTTATTTATATCAAGTTGGATGTGCACCCCGGCACTTGCTACAATCCGAAATGGATTGTTCACTGTGCTGGAGTCTTGCCAGGTTGGAGCAGACCCTGAAGTTAATGGTGTTTCCAAAAACAATCGTTCCGCTGTGTCATCATCAATTTTCGTGTCGGATCCTGGGGACCATTCCATCGAACTCGAGAAATCAACATCGCAGTCGCAGTCCTTGCGAGTATTTTGCAGCAGCTCAGTGATTTCTTCACCGGTGAAGGAACGCGCTGGCGTTTCCTGGATACCATTTTCCAAACAAAGTCAAAGGTGTCATACAAGAGTCTTCAATCCTTTTTTTTGTGCTGCCATGTATGCATCGTTTTTAAAACTAAAAATGTTTCCAATACACGAGGATAGATGGAGCATCCGACCCACACGCTAAATTGAGCGAGCGTTTACAGACACGCTTCCCAACAGGAAATAAAGTGCAGCGCGTCTACAGACACTCCCCAATCTGAGGTCAAAATTGATGCGCGTCTACAGACGCGCTCCCCAGTTAAAGGGTTAACCTGTTCCTCAAGAAATTACAGTCGGTAACACCACTGAATGAAGCCTTTATATTTTCAAATTATACATTTTCTTGAACTGCATTTTCTGCCAAAAAGTGAAACTGAGAAAAATGCATTTGAAGTTTCAACTTTACGTTTTTCTATTTTCTACGAGTCCCAGGCACAGAAATTTCATCTGAAGCATTGTCAGCATGTTCCTCTTTGAGACGCGGTTGTTCCTCTGGCAATAGCTACCAGCTTGTAGAATTTGTAGGCGAGCTAACTTTGGTAGCAGGCATACCTTGACAGATAAACTGCCAAGAACCAAGAGGTAAATAATACTTAGGAAGAGTGGCAAAGCAGCAATATTGTCTGAAGTTGAAGATACTGTCAAAAGGACATTACTCAAGATAACACAATATCACGTCACCAGACAGGAACATTCGTAAGCCGTTTCCGGTCTCAACCAATAAGAATGCTCCCATATCAGATTTTTCTCTTTTTTTTTTTCTGCTTGGGTGCCACTGATGCTTTTCTTCAGCTGGGAAAGCTCCTACAGGCTATATCTAGAGTAAATGATGCTTCCAACGAAGGTGAGATGTTCTGGCTATGCCAATTATGAAGCATCTCTAATTAAAGATCAGAAAAATTTTCTCCCTGTCGACTGGGAGGGTTGCCGGCATGCCGAAAAAATTTCTTGTGAAGTAAATCCTATACTCTAAAAATAGTTTCTGAAACCATTACAGTCACCGACTGATTTTTCGGACTTTGCAGGGACCGAAGGAACGTCCGAATAATTGAGCAGTCCGAAAAATCGGCAGATTACAAAACTTGTCCATTACATCTAGGCGGGCTTAAAAAACACGTCAATAGTGCCTTGCTTCGAGTTACGCCTCCGCTTGCATTCAGCCACTTTTTATTAAGGCAAAAGCCTTATATGTTTTATCGTTCAGTCTATCCTTTAACGTCCTTGAGGGAAAACGCGTCAGCGACACGAAAAGTATGAAAACACGTTGGCTACGTGAAAGGTACCAAAAACGAAAGGTACCTATGAAACGGCGCCAGAGGTGTGTCGTCAGAGAGAGCGCTGTCTTCGGACGTTCGCTATCACGTTTACATCGGCGCTTGGGCTTTCGCCTTCAAGTCGTCTTGGGGATAACATGAGAGACCCTGCAAACTTTTTCGCTTGAGAGTCGCTGCCTTCTTTTCTAGTGTTAAGGCCGAGTACTTTCCGTGCTTCTTAGGGACACTTTGCGGCGACGGAAGAGCAGATGGGGCCATGACGTGCGAGCCAGCATAGTCCAAAAACACGGATCACCGAGATGAACAAGTTCACGACTGCAGAACGGCGAATGAACAAAGCAAAATTGTAACAATGATGATAATGAAGCGCAGACAGAGAAAAAAAAAGTCGTAGCATAGCGTCACCTAGCCGTAGGACCTAACAGTACTCAAGTAGCACTGCCAAACCAAGTCAATCTGTGTGCAGCCAACATAGAATCTAAAATGACGACTTCTCGGTGGTGTTTCCCGTTAATCGCTTGCGACGATTCTGTCCGAAAAATCAAACTTTCGGACTTCGAACTGTCCGAAACAATGCGAATATGCTCCATTCCTATTGGGTAGGTCAAGCTTTAGGTCCGAAATATCGAACAAGTCCAAATTATCGGCGTCAGATAATTCGGTCGGCTACTGTAGTTGTAAATTAGTTAATAAACATGAACACAACATTTTTACATTTTTTCTTTGAAAAATTGGAATCCCGAGGTCAAATTTTCTTTAAAAAAAAATTGGGTTGTGTGTGTGTTTATACAGCCCAGAACTTGGTCTGCCTCAACGGGCTAATGACAACACCCACTGTTTGTCATTTAACCTATGCCTTTTCAAACAATGTTCAAATTCAAGATGCAATCACTGTAACCAACACCACTTTCGTGACCACTGTAGAGATCGGGGGTGCTTTCCCCATTTGTGGCCGGTCGGCATAAGTGACTTCGACAACGTGCACAAAAAAATTGCTTAGCATCTAGACCAGTGGTTCTCAAACAGGGGTTCGCGAAGGCATTCAAAGGTCCTGCAAAGCCCTGCCTCATCAATAAAACCCACCAATCTTTTTTTTTTTTTTTTTTTCAGATTAAGAAGAAATGTTGATTTTTGGGCGAGTTTTCTCGTGTCTTTGTCAATAAGAGAAGTTACTTCCCACTAGCCCTTAGTTATTTCCATTTATTCAATCATTATTATATTTAACTTGTACCTTTCCCCTCCCTTCACCACAAACGGGGGTCCTCCATCATCTCCACAGATCCACAAGGGGTTAGCGAAACATTGATGGTTGAGAGCCACTGATCTAGACAATAATTCTAGAGATGTTCATGAACAACGGTTCTTACCTTAGGTGGCTTGAATGGATAGTCTGTAGGGAAATGGATCGTAAGGAAAAACACTCCCCCCTGGTATGGACTGTCAGGCTGCAGAGAAAAAAGGTACAACTTATCAGACAAACTCTAAGCTACAGAAACTGGCACGGTGCAGAACAGTCAGAGAGGCTAAAACAGCAAGTTTGCTACATTCACTAGATTTTCTGTAGATGACATCATATGCCTGCAAAACAACTAGGTATGCTTCCTCTCAAATCCGAAAAAGAGAAAATAAATGTGGAAGCAGTTCCTAAGGCCAGTGGCTAAAGGATAGAACAATGCCTTTTATCTGGACTTCTTAAACAGGCTGTGTCTTTAGGAGTTCCTTCCAATACACACAGCACTCTTACAACACCATCAGGGTGTTGACACTAAATATATCATATTCTCCCCTGGTTTCGTTTAACTGCCTTAACAGAATCTAATTTGGTGAAATAAAGATGTCCAGAAACTTAAATAAAGATGTCCAGAAACTTCACCAGCAAAATATTAGAAAAAGTTTAAACAGAGTCACGACCCAAATGAAGACGCTGCTACCGTTTAACTAAAAAAAGAAATGAAGGTGTGGCAAAGGTACTCACAGGTCCCATTATTGTTGCTTGCCAATGAAATACTGCAATGAGTGAAAGCGAAAAAAGGAATGAAAAGACCCTCTCAGATTTCACAGAAAAACACCAGTCGAAAATCAGTCTCTGCATTTAACAAAAAATACAAAACATTGTTCCACTTGCACAAAATTAAGAACCAGCAACAAACTAATTAGGGAAAGGGCTGAGTGACAAAGCTATGACGTCCTGCTACAATCTAGTCCCACAACTTATTCAGACTGATCAGACAACTCTGCACGTGGATGCATTCTTTCAGTTTCTCTTCCCCATCAAACCACGAGTGAAGTGCCCAATTAACAATCAGAAAATGTATATACAATTGCCGACCAATTTTTCGAACAGATTTGATTACTCCGACGTTTTCGCCAAACCGTCACTCACCCCACAGAGTAATGTATAACACTGACCAATATTTTGGACACCATAAAGCTTATTGCTCAATATATTTCGGACATAATTTGCGCGATTTCCTCAGCTCAGTTACAAAACAGCTGCCGCAATAGCACTGCAGGCTTAGTCGCCGCCATTTTGGTTGTTTTGATTTTGCCCTGTAGCCTCGGTACCACGTTTTATGCAATAAACCAGCTGGGATGAGGCTATAGTCGGCTTTTATGGTTCTTGCAGCTTTTGGAGTGCAACCACGGGAAGAGAGGCTGTCTGCCATTCTTGTGGCCTTTCAGCACAAAGGTTTTTTGCCGACAGGCTTAGAATTGAAGCGAGCCTGGTAGACTAAACATCTCCAAATAGTGCCAAATAGCACCAACCTCAACTTCGCTCTTTGTGCCAACGAAGGCACCGAAAAAGTGCAGCACCGTAATCAAACAGATCAACAAACAAGTGAAAAGTGAACAATATAAAGCGGCATTGCATGAGAACTTCAAATTGACATCATACAAGTGGAAAGTACACATAATTAAATTACAAATAGCGCTAGGACGAGGACAGACGAAGAAGTGGACAGGACAGGCGCTCCCTCGTATCGCCCGCGTCGGCTGCGGTGCCCTATGAGAGCGAAAATCCCAAGTCTGCGCGGTCTCTGACAAGACAATTTCGGCGCCGTTTAATTGGCTCCCTCGTATCGCCCGCGTCGGCTGCGGTGCCCTATGAGAGCGAAAATCCCAAGTCTGCGCGGTCTCTGACAAGACAATTTCGGCGCCGTTTAATTGGCTCACTCGTATCGCCCGCGTCGGCTGCGGTGCCCTATGAGAGCGAAAATCCCAAGTCTGCGCGGTCTCTGACAAGACAATTTCGGCGCCGTTTAATTGGCTCACTCGTATCGCCCGCGTCGGCTGCGGTGCCCTATGAGAGCGAAAATCCCAAGTCTGCGCGGTCTCTGACAAGACAATTTCGGCGCCGTTTAATTGGCTCCCTCGTATCGCCCGCGTCGGCTGCGGTGCCCTATGAGAGCGAAAATCCCAAGTCTGCGCGGTCTCTGACAAGACAATTTCGGCGCCGTTTAATTGGCTCACTCGTATCGCCCGCGTCGGCCGCGGTGCCCTATGAGAGCGAAAATCCCAAGTCTGCGCGGTCTCTGACAAGACAATTTCGGCGCCGTTTAATTGGCTCACTCGTATCGCCCGCGTCGGCTGCGGTGCCCTATGAGAGCGAAAATCCCAAGTCTGCGCGGTCTCTGACAAGACAATTTCGGCGCCGTTTAATTGGCTCCCTCGTATCGCCCGCGTCGGCTGCGGTGCCCTATGAGAGCGAAAATCCCAAGTCTGCGCGGTCTCTGACAAGACAATTTCGGCGCCGTTTAATTGGCTCCCTCGTATCGCCCGCGTCGGCTGCGGTGCCCTATGAGAGCGAAAATCCCAAGTCTGCGCGGTCTCTGACAAGACAATTTCGGCGCCGTTTAATTGGCTCACTCGTATCGCCCGCGTCGGCTGCGGTGCCCTATGAGAGCGAAAATCCCAAGTCTGCGCGGTCTCTGACAAGACAATTTCGGCGCCGTTTAATTGGCTCCCTCGTATCGCCCGCGTCGGCTGCGGTGCCCTATGAGAGCGAAAATCCCAAGTCTGCGCGGTCTCTGACAAGACAATTTCGGCGCCGTTTAATTGGCTCCCTCGTATCGCCCGCGTCGGCTGCGGTGCCCTATGAGAGCGAAAATCCCAAGTCTGCGCGGTCTCTGACAAGACAATTTCGGAAAATATGTAGCAAAATATGTGGAAATTTTATATTTTGGCTGAAACCGATTTTTCGGATCGCTTGATATTTTCGACAATTTCGGGGTCCCCTCCGAGTCCAAAAAATTAGTTGGAGACTGTATACAAGACAAAGTGAGTTTGATGCAATGAGAAAAATAACCACAAAAGATTTGTCTGCTTCAAAGCATAACCTAAACATATACTGCACAACTTTGGTAGTGCGAACACAACTTCAATGCTCTCTCACATACTACTCTGAAAGGGTATCGATGATTACCATAATTTGCCAGTTAGGTTGAGGCTCCGCTCTAAAGAAGCACTTTCTATCACAGCGATAGTTTTTGATGACCGCTTTTTGATTTCATAAGAAAAAGAGACAAAATCGGTGATTACTTCTTTGCACTAACCGTGTCACACCATATACATACAGGCTATACACGTCAGGGCTGCCGACAGAAAGGATAGCTATGCAATACTACATAGAGAGCTGGTATAAAAAAAACTTTAAAATTATTATTTAGCACTTTTACTGGGGCACAAAGAAGTGCACTTCATGGCATCTGGATGTTGGCCGATGCATTGCTAAGTAGAAAAAGGTGCTTCCAAACATTTATTTCAAACGGAGATTTCAGACTTTCTTGAGTCTTTCTCGCACAAAGTAGTTTGCCTTTAAGTTTTAACCTCCAAACCCACTACTCCAAACCTATTTACCTAGTCGACCTGTCCAATGAACTTAGAAATTCGATTTGCGGTTTGTAGGCTTTGAGATATCCTACGTATAGACCAGTGTTTGCTCTGTTCCATAAGTGCTGCCATGCAAGCATTTTTTTTTAGAAACCTTTGCACATATTGTAGTGCAAGAACGTCAGAAATGCATAGTAACGAAGCAAAAATCTTGTTTTATGCACAGCCCCTTTCTTCACAAAAGCCTCCGTTTGCGATTATAATTTCCCATTTTTATCGCTGGGCCCAAGGATTTTGGACGCTGGTCTATTGCAATGTTGCGGAGTGGGCACCCCCATTCCATTCCAATTCCATTCTGGGGAATTAAATTTTCTATAATTCCAATTCCTTTCAACTCCTCGGAATTGGGAAACTGGGCCCATTCCCGCTCCTGGAATGGCTGAATCATTCCATTCCATTCCGTCATTTCCTAAACTTAAAAATTGGCACTTGACAGCTACATTGTGTTGCCGGCATAAGTAGCATAAAGCTGACATTATCAAACGGATAGACAAGACAAACGCAAAAAATGCTAAATGCCTAAAAAAAGCCCCGATTTCACTAAGCGGAGTGCTGGTGGCACAAAGTGTTTGTTTACATTGTACTGCGAACATCAAGAAAGCCCGTTGATTTGTCGATGCTTGTTTAAAACATCTGTCTCGCAATCAAGTAGCTCGCAACAAACAACAAAACTTAAATCCACTCCTTTTTTTTTCTCTTTTGCAAACTTTTTTTGCATTTTACTTTTACGACATACGCATCCAGCGTGTTAGTTCGACAAGACGATAGAAGTATCCAGTTCGTGCGTGTCGCAGAAATAAGCAATATTACTGTTTTCTTCAAATACCTGCACAGCAACACTGCTAGTACGCTTCTTGAAGAGACTCTGTTCACAGCGGCAAGAACAGATCCTCTGACAAAGTGCAACCTCTACGGCGCAGCAAGAGGGACCGTCTAGACCATGTCCCGAAATCCGTTTTAAAATGCACAAGTTCACGCTTGCTTTACGAATATCGGTATTTCTTATCATATTCAATTCAAATATTTATGTGTTTTCCAGCCGATCAATAGAACGTCTGCTGGGCTCAAATATACGTTAGTTCATTGTGGTTGGTTGTTCACACTGTGGCAACGGGTCGCACAGTCTGCGTCGACAAAGCTAGCTTCAGACTGATACAATTAAAGGGGTACTACCGCACCGTTCGAATTGACATTCCCCATCTCTCCTCATCACCACCGTCCAACTGATTTCTCACCGCCTCAAACAGGGTCCAGGACAAGAAGCATGAATGCAAACCAGATAGCCGAGACGTGCGGACGCCAAAACCTCAGTAACAGCTAGCACTAGCACCTAGCTCTCCTTCTCAGTAGCCCTCACAGAAACGTTTGCGCCTCATCCAGCAGCCTGGATGAGGCGCAAACTGTCTTTCTGCAGGTCTAGTCAGTTCGGTCAGGCGACAAGAGCGGTGACGAGTCTACTTCACCTTACGATGGACCGCGACAACCAGCACGAGAGCCATCGAAACCAATCCAATGCCTTCTAAGTGTCGCGTGACCCTGGGGCGCACGCAACGTGCCGTGCGTATAGTCCCGCTCAAGGTGCTGGATTACCTGGGGCGACTCGTACCGTCCGCAGCGGTCCATCGCGAGGTGAAACAGAGTATGCAGGTACTAAAGTCAAAAGAAATGAGCGGGAATCCGATAGCTCGCTTGTAACCCTAACCCACTTGAATGTAGAACATATAACACAGAAAACATGCATCGGAACAAAGACCAAGTAAAATGCAGTATAGAAAACAAGTGTCGGAGCAAAGTGCGAGCAGCAAAGAAAGAAGTGAATATCGCTTTGTTCTACTGCCGAAGCAAATTGAGCAAACCCACATTTCACACTTCAAAGGAGTGCGCACGAATGAACGTGGAAGGCAGCAGGGTTGGCCGCCTGCTAAACAACGCTCCTCGAACTCTAAGAAAACAATAGCTGATCATCTTTCGGCGGCGCACGAGTCAGTGAGTTATCAGAGCTCTACGAGTGATGAGTTGCCCCCGCTACCAGATCTGTCTGTGCGCGTGTGCATTCTCCACGCATTCGCAAAAAAAAAAAAAAAAAAAAAAAAGAGGCAGGACAAGGCCATGCCATG